CCTGAAACACGATGAATATCAGCTCCCTCTTGTGGATGACTCTTGGAGTAACCAAGCAATAACGACCTCTTGTGGTGTCGCTCGCGTTCCTGCAAAGCGAATGGTGTGAGGCTCGGGCCGTGGTATGTTACTGTGTTGTGCAGTAAAATTGTTGTGTGACTAATAAAGGCAAGGTTCACATTGCCATTGTAAATTTGTTTGTTACGACATGTGCATTTTGGTGAAGGAAGTGTGTTTTCTTTGAATATAAATTAAATATATTTATAAGTTAGTTAGGTTGTGAACTGAATTGTTAATTTGTTATAGTGAAGGGGAAGGTGAAGGAGAAGGGGAAAGTCACTCACTAAAAAGTGATCATACATGAATGAATGTATTCTGCACCATCTTCATCTTTTGCTTGTGAGATCAATGTCATAATTTATTGGGATCCGAGCTATATATGTGTATATACATGCTTTAATTCATAATTATATATATATATATATATATAAATTTATAACGTGAGAATCCGGCTAGATAAATATCCTGTTGGATAATATAATAATTGTTTGATATAATGTTGGTGACAATAAATAGAGAGAATTGTAAATACACAATGCATAAAATATCATATACATATAATATTTAAATATAAAATCAAATTAACATTTCAATAATGGTCTAATTTTATCCCTAATTATATGTTTTATTTTTATTTTAAATACAAAACAATTAAACCTAATCCTACTATAATTCTACTAATCTCCCCTATATATATATATATATATATATATATGTTTATTTAAATCTAGAAATTCAATTAGAAATGATTGACAATGGCATCAAGTTACTCCTCCGATATTCTTCTCATCGACGGAATTCCCAATCACGTCGCCGAGATCATACTACAGAAATTATGGACAGTCGATCGCATTCGCGTGAGAACTGTTTCAAAGGCATGGAATGCTACTCTGCGCCAATTACCGCCGTCGGAGCCGCCATGGAAGATCGTGTCGAACAGCTTCGATCAAGAAAGCAATCCCAAGAAAATTAAACTTTTAAGCCCAAGCAAGAAAGAATACACTTTCGAGTATCCCAACAATGGGCAATGCTGCTGCGGATCTTCCCGGGGATGGCTGTTCATCGGCGGCGGCGGCCATAGCGTCGCGGAAATTGGGAAGATTCTGCTATGGAATCCGCTGTCCGGAGAGATTAGGAATCTTCCTCCCCTGTCATTGGAATTTCTCCTGGACGGTTTCAATGCCTGGTTAGAATTAGGGCTCAACTTCTTATCTTGTTACGTTACGAGAGTTCATGTCTTCTCCACCAATTCCGGCGAGCTCGCGGCGGCGATGATTTTCGGTTTTCAGGCCTCAAGTGCCCAACGGAGGTTGATCATCTGCACGCCAGACGATCCGCAGTGGACGACCGTGGATATGAAGATCGGCAATGTGGACGCGATGGACGTCCTGTTTCATAGAGGCAAGCTGATATTCTTCTGTAATGATCTGCGGTATTCAACTTCTGTTTCCAATGGACTTATCGGACTTGGCTGCCGCACTGTTAGCCTAATCAACGGCAGCAAGGTGGACATGGAGATTGTAACCATGGTGTACGCAGGGGCACGTGAGGACGAAATTCCACCCCCTCCTCCGCCTGGCTTCTCTCTGCACAGAGGAGTTTGTAGAGAGGACTTTTTGGTGGCGGCGGCGTCCGGCGAGATGCTTCTTGTGAGCGCTACGGTGGATCGACACGCAAATATAAATGATCAATCACTGTCGTACATGTGGTCGAAAATCGGAGGTGTTGAGGTGCACCAGATTAATCTCCGCCATGGCAGCTTGCCAGAGAAGCTTAGGAGCATCGGGCGGCAGGCGGTGTTCGTTGGCGGAGGTTGCGATGCGGTACTGATGTCAGTGAATGATATAGATAACGTTGAAGTGTCGAATGATTTCATATATTTCAGGGAGAACGGTGTTTTGTTGATTGCCACCAAGGACGGTGGCAATGTCATCGCCCAGGGTATCTACACGGTTAAGCAAAGAGGCAGATTCAATGTACAGACCGGTGTCGTATCCCCAGATTTTGTGTCGTATTTTGAGAGTATGTCCAAGATTCTTGGGTGGTTTGTGCCCAAAATATAGAAATTAATACGAAAAAAGGATTGTAGTTTCTCATTTTAGGACAGTTCGAGTAAAAGTTCGATTTTGCGTTTGAATAAATTTCGAAAAAAATAGTTTTTTCTTTTTTTAATTGTTTGAATATAATAAAAGTAAGAACTTTTAATTGCTAAAATTACTAAAGAAATATGATAACAAATGTAATTTACTATATATTATTAGAAAATTTAAAATTCTAAAAAAAAAATAGATTTATATCCTCGTGAATGAAATTTTTTTGCAAATTTAATACTCGATGCCTATGTGACATCTGCGTGGCATGTCGACCAACTTAGCTGTCACGTGGCAAATGCGTCTCCGTCACGTGAATAATTTTTATTTTTATTTTGAAATATAAAAATTAAAAAAATAAAAATAAAATTATAAAATATAAAAATAAAAATAAATAAAATAAAACTAAAAATTATCCAATATCCGTTAGGCCAGCACTACATGACCTTTAATAATTTATATATTATATTTTTTTAATTATATATATAATTTTATATAAAAAATAAAAACTATTCACGTATCAATTACGTGACGCTGACATGGTGGACACGCAGATATTTATACATATTTCCGTATTTTTTTATTGTTTAATAATATTTTTATATAAATATTATATTTTAATTTTTAAATATTAATTCATATAAATTTTAATAACTTGAAATATATAATTTATTATTTCTAAAAATAAAATTATTTTAATTAAATCAACATATATATTAACTAAAAAAATAATTCTAAAGGAATCTTAGTATAATATAAACTTATAAAATAAATATATAATTAATACAATATAATTTAGGAATTATATTTAATTATTTAATTATTATTTTTGTTGAAGATAATCAATTCTTAAAAAAGATAATAAATTTTAATAAATGTATTTCTATTCAGAATGAATCATGTGGTGAATTTATAATTCAGCCCATGTGCTGATGAGCTATTTCAAAGGTTAACTATGTCATTAGATAATTAATTATTAATTATATCATATAATAATATAATAAATTACACATCAGCACTTATCTTTACTATTTTTTATTAAAGGTAATGAGTATCCAATCCCATTTTCTCCTCCATTTTTTGGAATAACTATAGTGTTACGCCTCCGCTCTATTATTTTGTGTATTTTTGTTAGTTTTGAGATATTTTTATAATTTTTTTAAGTGATATATAATTTTATTTTATGGAAATTGATATATAATTTTATTTTCTAAAAGTGATATATAATCTTATATTTTAAAAAGTGATATATAATTTTAGTTTTGTAAAAAGTAATATATAATTTATTTTTTAAAAACTGATAAATAATTTTATAAATAAAATATGAATTATATATTTTTAGTGATAATGTAAAAATAAATTAAAATTAGAGTGTAATTTATAAATATAAAAAGTTATATAAAATAATATAAAAGAAAAATATATAAGAAATATATTTTTAGAATAAAAATTGAAGTTTACGGTGGAAGTAAAGTGACTGTAAACTAACTGCATTTTTACTGTAGCTCTGAAAAATAATGTGTTGTCTACTCTAGTTTTTTTTGTTCTTTTTTCTAAACAAAATAGTTCTTATTGATGTTAAACCATACCAAAATAAATATTATAATATATAATTGATGTTATTATAGTTTGTTATTTTGTAAAAATTATAAAATATTACATCTCGGAAAATAATTTTCAGACAAAGATATTTTGCACTACTTTAAAATTTTCAAAAATTAAGCTCTCTTCTTGTCAAATTATGATTCTCCCACCGGAAACAAACACATCCAAACAAACATAGTACTAATAAATACTCCTTGTGTTCGTCAAATTTATTTCCATTTTTTTTTCCTTTCATTTGTTATATTTATTTCATTATTATATTTAAAAAATAAAAAAAAAATCAATATTCAATTATTACTTTTTATTCAACACTTATTTACGAAAATTATTTTTAATATTATTATATTATCTCTCTTCATTCTCTTTAATTAGCTCCTTTATCTTGCTGCACTCCATCGTAATATCCACAAAGTCCTTGTGCTCTCTCTTTGCTGTAGGATGACAACGACGATCTCTTCTTCGTTCTCTCGTTCATAACCGGGGGCGGTACTAGGTAAGGTGGGTCAATTGACCCACCAAAAAAATAAAAAAATAATACTAATTATTACTAATATTACAAATACACTCCTAAATATTAGTGTTATATTTGTTTCATGAATAAGTGATTATTTGACCAGACCCACCAAAAGAGTTATTGATGTCTTGCCGTTTTTTCTTTTTCATTTTAATAAATTTTCTGTTTTTAATAGAGATTGTAGCTACTTGCAGAATTATATTCTACTGAATTTTCAAAAGTAAAATTGATAATTTTTGAATTATTATTGGATAATTTCATTATTGATGTTCAATGTAACGAGATATTTTAGAATTTGAATGATCTAAATGAACTTTGTATGAAATTTGTTGAGACAAAAAAAATGGAATACCGAATATGAAACTTCTTCTTGTAGCAACTGCAATAGTGGAAAGATCATTTTCAGCAATAACTATCATCAAGAACAAATTACGGAATAACATGAAAGATTAATTATTGAATGATTGTTTCGTTACTTTTCTAAAAAAAAAATATGTATTTATGAAAGTTAGCATAGATTCTATTGTCAACCAATACCAAAATATAAGATCTTGTCGTAAACACTTGTAGTTATTTTGATATAGTAGTGATTGTTAATTTAAAGTTTCAATTCTTTTTAATAAAACTTTTGTTGATGTATTTATTTATTTTAATTTTATTTTGATTATATTAATTCGTCGACCCACCAAATTAAAAATCCTAAATCCGCCAATGTTCATAACATCGTCGAAGAGTTTGAAAGCAACACATTTCACTCGTAACAACTTACAAAAAAACATTTCAATCCATGCTTTATTTCCTCAAACATTCATTATACTGCGAAACCTTAATACGACGACATCAAATTATTATTCATAACCTCTCAAAGCGACACCATCAAATCGCCGGAGGCGAATAAGGTTTAGCCAAAGCCATCATAGCATCTTTCCTATGCATAGTAATCCCGAAAACCTCAGTCATGTCAAGATCCGAGGCTCGAATTCCCGGTGGAAGCTCCCAATCAAAGCTTTGAAGCATTTGTGCCAAGCCAATCTCGACGCTCGCCGAGCCAAATGTAATTGCCGGGCAGCTTCTTCTGCCCGCGCCAAATGGTATCAACTCGAAATCCTGCCCTTTGAAATCAATGTCACTGTTCAAGAACCTCTCTGGCTCGAATACCGCAGGATTAGTCCAGGACTTGGGGTCCCTCCCGACCGCCCAAGCATTTATGAAAACTCTTGTTTTTTCGGGGATTTTATACTCGCCAATGGCGATATCTTCCATGGATTCTCGGGGAAGAAGCACCGGGGCGGGAGGATGTAATCTATACACTTCTTTGATCACGGCCTTCAGGTAATGTAAATTGGGCAAATCGCTTTCGGACACATACTTTTTCTTCCCGACTACGCTTCTTACCTCGGATTGCGCCTTTTCGAGCTTTTTTGGATTAGTTATAAGCTCTATCATTGCCCAATCTAGAGTGATGAAGGTTGTATCCGTTCCCGCGGCAAACATGTCCTAGAGAGTAAAACATAGTTACTTTAATATTTATTTTACATTTAAAATATCGTATGAACATTATATTATATCTATTATTAAATTACCTCAGCTTTAGAGTGTATTTAGTTTTGTGTTTTGATCTTATTAGACTTTCATTTGAATTTAATATTGTATAAAGATAATAATATACCATCCGTTCACTTATGTGTGTTTACTTTGAATTAGGGTGTATAATATAATAATATATATCCTAATCACATGTTTATTATAATGTATTAAAGTCTGATATTGATTAAAGTTAACTACACTAATACGCTAATTAAGTAATATTTATACTAAAGTTTATATTATTTTATATTTAATCAAATAAAGTAAACATTGTAATCATAGAAATAATGTAGGTATCACAATCCAATTCTTCAAAGTAAATGCAGCTGAATTGATTTTTTTGTGTATGGCACGAGGAACTGCGCTGGTAATATAAAAAATAATATTTTGTATTGAATAGTTGACTTTTTTTATAAGTAAATAAGGTGTATATTTATATTTTCTTATATACTAAGTAATAATAGTATAAATAAATAAATTTAAAGGTGTGTTTCTTTACATCCAAAACCTCATATTTTTACTATTTGGACTTTATATTTTTCGAAAAAAATACATAAAATATCCTATCATACATTATTTTAATACTCAACTCAAACCAAAATTTTTCCAAACTCATCAAAAGAAACAAATCATTTACACATTATTTAACTATTCAAAATGCAATCTTTAATTGTGTTTTGAAATTGTTTGGAATACTTTTTAAAACATTCGTTTTTTTTTTTTTTTTGTCTTTTTTTTTTCCCTCTTACTTCACACAAACCCATTTGGGATAGAATTCAAAACATAGCCCTCAAATGAGAATATCTCAATATTTAATTTATAAGAGTTTGGCTTATCTATGATTTGTTAAAGGATTAGGAGTTTGGATTTTGATTGAAAGTAAGTTGATAGGATATTTTGTTATATAAAAATATATTTTATTGAAAATTTAAATAATTTATTATTAAAAAAACAAAAAAAAAAACAAAAACCAACAGTTTTCATATAAAATATTACTATACTAAATATTACTTATTTTAAATGAAGATAAAATATAAACACAAAAAATAAATAAATAAATAAATAAATTAAAAATAAACAAATTATATATAGATATATATACTCTTTTTGTTCTAATGAATAGAATCCAACACATTTTAAATAGAAAATATAAGCTAAATATAGTACTCCTGTAAATATTCATTTCATTTGTTTTTTGTACGTAGTTTTAAAAATATTAATATTATATTATAATATAATAGAAATAAAGTAGAAATAGCTAAAATATGTGTGATATAAAGATAATGAAATTTGTGTAATATATTGTAAGTTACAAGGGTATTTGTAACGCTAGGTAGACAGTACAATTACTAAAAAAAAAAAAAAAATAGATATTTTATTATGGGATGGACTAAAATTGAAAAATAGATACTTTGTTGTGTGACGGAGGGGAGGGAGTATTTTACTTTCAGTAAAAAAAATTGTATTTAATTTTTTAAGAATAATTAAAAGTGTTATGTTCAAGATAATTTTATTTTATTATTTTAGATTAGAGGACATAAATATTTTTAATAAATATAGGATGTTATGTTTTAAATAAAAAGTATATACGTTGGATACAAATTTTATTTTCTTGTATGCAGATAATAATTAGTTTTTTTTATTTTTTTATAGTAATATATATAGAAATGACAAAAATTAAATATTTGTCCGTCAAAAAACTATATTACTATTTCTGTTTTGGCCGCTCAATAAACAACTCTATTCTCTCATAATAATAATCAATTCGTCATAATTCTTTTCATTATATCATTATTTTTTTATTAATTTTTAATAAATTTTTTAAAATACTATTATTTTACTTTTTATCTATCTAGCTTCTACGTTAAAACATTATTATTTTTTTATTTCCATACTTAAACAAACCTACTTAATTTTACGTTTACCATGGAAGAAAGAGTAATAAGTTTTCACCTAAAATGGATAAATGGGCAAAAAAGAAAAAGTGAATAAAACTTACCAAAAGTATTGCTTTGACATTGTCCATGGTGAGTGGCAATTCAGCTCCTTCATCTTGCTGTACTTCCAGCAGAATATCCACAAAGTCTTTGTGCTCTTTCGACGACCACGACGACGACAATAATCTCTTCTTCATCTTCTCGTCGATAACGTCGTCGAAAAACTTGTCGAAGCGCTCGAAGGCGTGAAGGAGCCTCGACTTGAGTCCCGTGATGCGATGCACAAATTCCATCGAAGGGAAGAAATCTCCGATGGAGAATCCCCCTAAGAGCTCTTGATATTCGTTCAGCATTTCTTGGAAGCCGAGGCGGTCATACTCGCCGCCCCCGTTGAAATCTTTTCCAAACACTATCCGGCAGAGAACGCCGTTCGCGTATTGGTTGAGACACTTGGATAGGTTGGTGATTCCTGGGTGAGATTCAGCGATACGCTCTACTAGTTTTGCAGCTTCTTCCTCTCGCACGAAGCCGTACGACTGAACTCGCCTGGTTTTCAACGATCAATTGCCATAAATTATGTAAGGAAATAAACATAAAAGTTGTCGCATAAATTTTGCTCGACGAAATCGAAAATTAGGATAAAATTGGGAGTGGTAAAAAGTTCTTTACTAGATCTTTGGTCGATGATACTGCGTTTTTCAAATCTATTTCACACTATTCGTTGCTTCCTCCGTCCTAAATCAAAGAGATTTTTTGGGGTTTTATAGTAAATTAAGAAATAATACTCCTTCCATATATTTTATAATGTCTTATTTGATATTTACAAGCATTTTTAGATCATTAGGATTTTTGTTATAAAATGACAAATTTGTTATTTATTTTTTGATAAAAAAAAAAAGTAAATAAAGTAAAGACAGAAGAGTAAATTATGTCTATAGAAATATAAATAGAACAATAATTGTTGGATATAGAACGTTAGTTTGTTAGACGTAAGAGTAGTATTTTATTAGTTAGTGGAAGTGTGTAAGAAATTTTTATATTTTTGCTCTTTAACTTTATGCATAAAGTATGTTTATAATTTAAGTAGAAATTAAAGGTATTTTAGTACTAATGTATGATTACTTTTTTTTTAAATAGAAAAGAATATTTTAAAGTAGACGAAAATAGTAAAAAAAAAATATTTGTATGGGATGGTGAAAGTATAATTTTTTCGTTTAAAAATTTTTCAACTGAAATGTTAACTAAAAAGTTAATTACTTATATATTTAAGAAAATATAGTATTTATATATCTATTTATATCGAATTAAACAAAATTTTTCTACTAAATTTTTTACTGTTTCCGAACCAATCCAAAATTTCAAAATATTTTCAAAACATATAAAAACCGACTATCTCGTCGTAGACAAGGATAAGAAAGCTTTCCGGAGAGTTAGAATAAACTAAAGCGAAAATATACAAAATCGATTACTTGGCGCTGAAGAGCTCGAGTATGCAAATCTTCCGGACGTGGCGCCAATGAGCGCCGTAGGGCGCAAACGCTACATCTGTACAATCATAGAACAAATACTTGGCGGCGAAGAGCGGGGGGCGCGTGGCGAGGGCGACGTCGTGTATTTTCATGGCTTCCTTAGCCATCTCGGGCGTCGAGAGAATGACGGTCGGGATCTCGCCGAGCCGCAAGTAGAAGATGGACCCATATCTTTTGGCTAGGGAATAAAGGGAGATGTGGGGATGCTTCCCTAATTGATGCAAGTTGCCGATGATCGGCAATCCCGACGGCCCCGGCAAAAGTCCCCACGGATTTTTAGACTTGTTGTTATTCCATCGAAAAAAGAACAGAATTAGAGTCGAAAGCAGGATCAGAACTAGAAATATTGGGGAGATGAGGATCCCATCAAATTCCATGGCTCTACTTGTTTGTGTTTTTTTGTGAAAATTGATTAGAAATTGATGATAAGAAGATTTTGTAGATCATTTATAAAGTTTGAGGTTGCAATTATTTGGCTAAGTCAAGCACGCTGTGTTGATAAGGACTTCTTGTGAAGATTTGGAATTGGAATCGAAATAATAGATATATTGTGTGTGTCCTTACGTATGTATGTATTTTTCGTCGTCTATTGCGAATGTGTCGGTAATAAAGAGAGGGACGGGTTGGTTTGGCGACGTGGGGTTGAATATGTGACCGTAAAATCATAGGTTGAAACCTCCAACACCTCAGGTCATCTGCCACCAGCGGCGTGACTAAAATATTATTAGAGGGGGGCAAAAATTTTAAATTTACAAAATAAATTTTTTATTTGTAAAATAATACCATTATTGTCCATTTAATAAATTTATATTTATTTTTTATACTAATATTAAATATTAATTATTATATCAAATATAGTCCAAATAAAAAAATAATAATAATCTTTTTTATTAATAAATATTGATATATTATCTTTTGAGAAAAAAAAACTAATGCACTTTTTTATTAAAAAAAAAATAACACTTTGATATTTTTATTATTTTTTTATTTATTTTAAATATTTTCTATAGATTATACATATATATATATATTTTTTTTGAAATAAAAAGATTTAATAAAATAGGATAAAAGTGGGGTGGGGTAAGGGTGGGCTGCCATGTCCCTTAATAGGTCCGCCACTATCTGCCACATATAGTTCACTTAGTGTGACTGGTCTGTTGAGCCTAGTTTACAGAGTATTAGGTTCGGCCGAAAATTTACCCAGTGTGCACTTTCGAACAGGTTGGCTTCGACAGATAAAAAAATTAAAAATAATACATATTTGGTTAGTTGAATCTACTGATTTTGACAATTTTGTTATTTATATTATATATATAATAGTATATTTATAATTTATATAAAAATTAAAAATATTTTAATATTAATATATAATTACTTTTTAAAAAAAATATATATAGCATAATAAATAAATAAACAAAGAGTATTATTTAATTTATCTTAAAAAATATATTTTCCCCGTCCGCTAAAATTATATAACTATTTCTTATCGTAAAATTTATATAACTACTTTTTTTTTGTCACATGCGATGACAGCGGTTGAACGTGGGAGAGGGGTCTCGGCCCCGGGACGAAGTATCTGTCTGTCTGCTTCTTCTATGTTAATTAATTTTTTACTCTAAAAATAAATAAATAAATAAATCTACATTTGTGACAACTAAATAAAGTAAAACAGATTTATTCCTCCTTGACAAAGAATATTTAATTGAAAAATAAGTATTTATTTTAAAAAAATATTATTAATAAACAATATTAGTTGATTTTCGTTTGTAAATTAATAAATAAAGGGTAAACTATTTTTTAGTCCCGTAACTGGACCCTTTATCATTTTAGTCTCGTAAGTGAAGCTTGTCGCAAACTAGTCCTATAAGTGAAAAAATTTCGCTATTTTAGTCTTCCGGCGCCGGAGATGCCCGCGTGGCTAGCCGGAGGTGACGTGTCCGCCAGGTGTCCCGCCAGGTCAGCGACACCTTGCGGACACATGGATTTATTTTTTTTTTCAATTTTTTTTTATTTTTTTAAATTAAATCAAATTAAAAATATATAAATAAAATTAAAAAATAATTAAAAATAAGTTTTTTAAAAAAATTAAAAAATAAAATTAAATAAAAAAATCCACATGTCCGCCAGGTCAGCGCCAGGTGTCGCTGATCTAGCAGACACGTCACCTCCGGTGAGCCACGCGGGCATCTCCGGTGCCGGAGGACTAAAACAGCGAAAGTTTTTCACTTATGGGACTACTTTGCGACATGCTCCACTTACGGGACTAAAATAATAAGGGTCCAGTTACGGGATTAAAAAAAACAGTTTATCCATAAATAAATGATGTCTCTAACTGTTTACATTTTTAGCGGAAGTTCAACTATTTAATGAGTCTTGGTATCATTTATGATTTTTTATTTAATTCTTTTCATAATAATGTTTAATTTTAAATATGATGTTCAATAGCTTTTTTTTTTTTTTTTTTAAGAATATGATATAAAATACAATGATATTTTAAAATAATAGAGTAGGAATTTATTAAGTAAAATTAATAAGAAGATATGTGTAGGAGTATTGAATTAAATTAAATATATTATAAAACTTAGAATACATAATTTGGTGATAATATTCATACATATCCCTTCTTACTAATCTTTAAAAACTAGATTTATTTTAAGATATGAAATGAGGGGTCACAGCTATTTTATTTTATATAAAATCAAATCATTTTACTAAAAATAATGAAATTCACACTATTTAAATCTTTTTTAAAAATATATATATATATATTGGGTTTATCTATTTTTAATATTAATAACCAAGGGAAAAGTGTTTGGATTTTTTGTTCACTATTTTTAAAATGTAATAATTATTAAATGAGTCTTTTTATTGAAAATTACTAGGTGTGTTTGTTTTGCATATTAAATATAAAATTACAATATTCAATCGGCACGATTCTCACTAAAAAAATATTTTTATACAATATATTTATAATTTAAATAAAAATTAAAAATATTTTGATATTATTTTATAATTATTTTTTTTAAATAAAAAATAAATATTTTAAAATAAGGCAGATAAAAATAATAAAAATATATAATCTGAATTGGAACGGATGAAGAATAAAGTAATAATTTTTTCATAAAACACAAAATTAAAATACTATTTAAAATTAAAAAATTAAAAACTCAATGTCATACTCAAACCTAACAAACCTAAATAAAGACAGTTTTGAGTATGTTTACTTTTGTGTCCCTGTTAATTTGTTATTTATATTTTTAAATAAAATAATTGTTAAATATAATATTTTTTATAGAAAAAAGATAATAAATTTATATAGGAATAACGAAATGTTATAGTAAAAAACGCAAAAAATCAAACAAATATTTTTATTTTAAATGTTCTTCGATAAAAATTCAAATTATTTTAAATTAGTATATTTTAATATGATATATTATCATTATCATTGTATTTATAAGAATTTGAATTGAAAATATAGATATTATCTATATATAACATTAATAATGTATATCTTTTTTAGGGTCGGCTCTTAACAGGAGTAACCCGAGCGATTGTTTACCTCTATTTTAAGAGAGGTCTATATTTTTTAATTCTAAAATTAAATTATAACTATAATTTCTCTAAAATTTCATCTTTATGCCTTTAAAATTCGTAAATAATTAGATATATTAAAATTTAATTTAAATTTTATCTGTTTATACAATTACCTAATCCAATTCTAATTCTAATAAACTCTAACAATTTCTTTTTTTCTAATTTTATATTCATCGCCTTTAGAATTTATAGTTATTATTATTGAGTTATTGACCTTATAATAGTCAAAATATTGTAAAGTTTTATAATAGTCAAAATATGTATCACAAACTAAGTCCGACCGTTCACTTCCACACCAGTCCGTCATCCCTCACGGGATACATATATTTCATTTATTGTATATATGATTAATATAATTTTTATTTTTGTAAAATTTATTATTATATTTTTCATTTATAGTATTTTGAAAGAAAAAATATTGTTCATAGAACCTATCATTTTTTTTTGTTCAGGGCCCTAAAAAAGTCCGAGATGGCCTGAAGTACTCAATAAATTTAGAATGAAATTAATCTTATTTGAGACATAGGAATAGCAATTAAGAGGTTTTAGGATGATTTTGCAGATCTCATAATTTGTTCCACCAAGAAAATTGTTGTGTTTGTTTTGAGAAAATGGGGTGAAAATATATTTTTTATATGATGTATAGGAATTTGTATATAATATATATATATTCGAAAAACTATGTGAAAAAAATAAAAATGAACAAACTTCAGAATTCATCTCTTCTCGGCTCAGTCTCGCCCTAAAATCCAGTCCATCTTGAACCCATCTTTATAATTAAAAGTATCTAATAAATATTATTATTAAATAAAAAGTTATTTTATTATATAATAATATAAATAAATTTTATAAAATAATAATAATAATAATAAATAGGCTTAGTTAAAAAGGCTTTTTATAATTTGAAGCTTGTTCTATTTAAGTAAAAAGGTTTTAAAGAAAAGTTTGACCTGTTCTTTTATTAAGGGTGTGTTTGTTCGAGGGATTGGATTTAATATACACTATTCATTCCATTTTTTCCCCAAAAAACATCAAATCAAACACCTATTTTTCATTTTTTATATTATACTAAAAATTAATTTTACATTCACAACATCACATCAACACCTATTTATATCGCAATCATATAATTATTTAAATTCAAAATTTTTACTAATTTATATCCAAATTCAAAATCCAAACCCTCAAACAAACACACCTAGATCAGACCAGGTTACGCCTTGTGTAGGTTAGGCGGTAGGCCCGGCAGTAAATTTTATTAAATTACTAATACCCTTAACTTTTATTGTTTGTTTTATTGTACATTTAAAAATAGATCTAGAATAATAAAAATTAATAAATATTTAATATGATATAAATGAGTGTTTATGTGATGTCTAAATTTTTTAATATAATATAAAAAATATTTTATTTGATAATTTACGATTGAAAATTAGTTAATAATGAAATTTGATTTAGAATTTGATTTTTATATTTTATTAAAAAAATTCATTTATCACTATTATTAATAGTGAAAAATATCAATTTGTTCAAATAATGCAGGTACCGTATAAAAAAAATACTAAAGTGTTAAAATTATTGTATATCGTAAATTTTTATATAGTATGATACCGCACCGAAAATTTTTAGTACGACAATTGCATATACTTTTAGCATCGGTATAATATATACTGAAAATATCAATACAGTTTGATATTTTAGTATTTGATATATCGGTCTATATCAATAATTTAGTATATTGATACTAAAATAATTAATTTTCTAATATATTCTTAAAATTGTAAAATTATTTTTAATTTTTATATTTCAGAGTAAAATATTATATTATGATACCATACATGTAATTCGATTAGAAATGACTTGATATTGTATTCAAATAATAGCGAACCATATTGTATACCACACCGAATTTTTTAGTATATTAAATATATATATATATATATCGATACCATACAAAAAAAAAAGTTCGGTATACTGAAATTTGACATTTCGGTATTTTTTGGTACGGTACGTGTTATTTCTGTAATTCAGTATTTTTTCATCTATAAATTCGATATACCAAATTATTGGCACAATATCTCATTATGATAAAATAGCATACTAAAAATTTTGGTACGATATATAAAATATGCATTATAAATTTTGGTATGTAATATCGAACTATCTCTACCAACAATCAAATTCGAAAAATTTGATGTTTTGTTTATATTAAAAATTTTAGTATTACGGCTATTATTTTTGTATTTAAATTATTACAGTTAACTTTTTTTTTATCTAATTGCATAATTTATCATCAATATAATAATATTTTTTAAAATAAAACAATTTCAATAAATCAAACATTAGATTTAAATAAAATAAAATATTTCAACTTTTATCTTAATATTTCATCAAATAAAAATAGTTAAAATAACATTTTATTACATATATTACATTAATTAATCAAATAAAAATAGTTAAAATAATATTTTATTACATATATTACATAATTAATTACACTAATTAAATATATAAACCAAATTTTCATTAAACTCCGCGCAAAAAAAAAGCGCGATTAATTTTGCGGGACGGAGTGAGTATAAATAAAAAAAATAAAAATATTTAATAAAATTCGATTAATTTATTCCTAAAATGTTATACAAAATATATTTGTCCAATATAATAAAATAAACTTTGTAAGCATTTTGTTATGTCTTTTGTACAAGATTGTATTGGGATTTAAGTTGGAGACTGTTGAATGGATATTGTGCCTGTATTGAAGTTAGTTTTGATAATAAATTATTTGTTTTCAAAAAAAAAAATCTATTCCTTTAAAACTAAATTATTTTAAAATTATTTATTAAAGAATTGTTATTTATCATAGATATAATATACTAATTTATATGATTTATTAAAAATATATTTTAATTAAAATTGATTAAAATATTTAATTAAAAATATTTCAAAACAAATACCATAATTTAAATATATGTCAATATGTTTTTAATACTTATTTGATATAATTAAAAATAAAATAAAATAATATTAAAATTTTCTAGATGTTATAAAAAAAATTCTAATAAAATATTTAAAGGGTACAATAAGTAATTAGATAAAAAGAAAATTTTAATAAATTTCATCCCTTTCGAATTCTCTCAAATTGGCAACAAAGTCACCTCAAGTAATCATATTTTATTTTCAATCTTTATCACAATTCAAGTGGAGATTTATATTGCATTTTCAGTGTTTCATTGATGTGATGACACAAAAAGATCGTGGTCTTTGCACGGTCTTAGCTCGGGGAATTTTTATCCCGGACAATGGTATTTTTCAAGCCTATTGATGTCATATGCATTTTAACATCGCGAGTCCAGGCTATATAATTTTGGCCAGAAACGAGGAGAGAGAGAATTCCTATTTAACAAGATTAGACATAATAAACATATAATGTATAAAATATTACCTTGCGAAAATTAAAATATATAATCGTGTTGATAACATGTTGTGATATTAATATAGGTGTTGAAAGTGGATTGTATTTGTTTTTGGGTTTTGGTGGATGTTGTTTGCGGATGGTCCGAACAACGGATGAACAGTGATAGACAGACGAGGCCCAAATTGTCTTGAGCCTAATCAAACAAGGAAATAGCCCAAATTGATCAATCCAATGATGACTCAAATGAATGGATCGAGAAAGTTTAGGGTTTGTTGATCCCCCAATCCATGTGTGGGAATAACAAATATTGGTTGTAACAAACTTTGTGGATGTAGAGAGAGATAGTGGAAGAATATATTATATTCTTGTTGAGTTTGTTAGAGTAAATATTCTTATATTTGGATATAGAGCTTCTATATAGAATATAGAGTTGAAAAAAGATAGATTATGGGAGATATAGAAAGAATTGAGGGTGGGGGTGTGTGGGATAGGTTGAATACGGGAACTTGTCAAGAAATGAGTAGATAGATTTCTTGAGTGTGTAGTTCAATTGTATTCACATATCTTGTGCTTCAATGTTTTCAATAATGAGTTTTGTCTGGGTTGAAACCCCCAGATGTAGGCTGGTGCAATCGAACTGGGTTATCATTTCGTTGTGTTTCTAATGTTATTCGTTACCAGAATGTTTATTCGCAGTTCGATCATCCAACGAACAACCAATTTGTGTTGAGAAATTTTTCTGTGTTGATTTTTTAAGTTTGTTGCTGTTGTGCGTATTCTTAGTGTTGAGATATTGCTGTTGTTTGACTTTGAGTGAATTTGGGGCCAACAATATAATTAGCCAATAAAAATATTAATTATCTCTGCCGCTAACCAATATTTTATATATTATATTATATTAAAAATATTGTGTATATAAATATATGTATATATATGTTATGTATAATGTATGTTGTGTGTGTGGGCATGTATAGATATGAGTGTATACGTGTATGTAATAATTACGTACGCAGCATATATGTGTATAGCACGTAACTATTATAACAATTTTGTGGTTTTTTAATTTTTTTTTAGACAGCATGAGTAATGGATAGTAAAAAATAGAAAATAGTTGTCAAATGAGCAAAGTCTTTTGTAAGATTTGGAGTTTCAATTTAAATTTTGAATAAAAAAAAATTAAATTTTAATACTTGATATAATATAAATATATATTAATGTAAATTTATTTTTTATAATATAAAAAATTAACAAATAAATATTTAATTTTATATTTTAGGGATTTTTTTTATAAATATTAAAAACTTGCAAACAAAGAGCATAAAATGTATTATTGATATATTTAATTTTTTCTTTTATATGAAATATATATTTTTTTTATTAAAATATAGAAAGAAAAAAAAAAAAAAACTTACATTAATTGTTAATTGTAAATTAAATAATACTTCGTCCGTCTCATTTCTCATATTCATCTTTCCGTCTCACTTATTTTGTCACTTTTTTTTTTATTTAAAAAGGATTATATATTTTAATCTTATTATTAAAAAATTAATTTATATTTTTTAAAATTTTAATTATATTAATCAATTATTTTAATTATTTATTAATTATACTCTTTTTAAATTCTTGTGTTTATAGTAAAGTAAAAAAAATATCCAGGACGAAGACAATACATAAATAAATACTCGATAAAATTACAAGTAATAATTATGGACCTATAGTCCTATACTAGTTCTAATTAAATCGACCAATACCACCACCACCTAGCTCGTTTCTAAACATCCTCGACTCCATCAAATGAACGCATTCGATTTGTCCGAGGATAGCTTTGCATGAGCCCTACACTAGGCTACACCTAGCCCTCAGGCAAAGATCCATTACCTTAAATTCCGACACCTTAATCGTCGAAATATAATTTACATGACTCACTCCCCATTTATTCACTATATAAACTCTGCCCCATCAAATTTACAATATTATCAAATCGACTCCTATAAATTCGTTCTCATGGACAAGAATTACAAATTCTTGCTCCTCCTCATAGCTCATCTTCTTCTATATTCCGCCGCCGCCTCCGGCGCCACCGCCGCCTCCGGCGCCACCGCCGCCGCCGCCAGAGCCGCGCCGAAGAAAGGCCACCCGAAAAACGCGAAGGTCCCGGCAGTGCCGGTCCACGGGAGAGGCCAATGGCAGCTTCTGATGGAGAACGTCGGCGTCGTGGCGATGCACATGACCTTGACGCCGCACAACACGGTCGTGATGTTTGACCAGTTGGGGTCGGGCGGGTATCATCTGCGGCGGCGCCACCGCGGCCGGAGGTGCGGGAAGCAGAGAGAAGACGCGTTCGACCCGTCGTGTTACGCGCACTCGATCGAGTACGACGTCGCTAGCAACAAGATCCGGCCGCTCCATGTCGTCGCTGACACGTGGTGCTCGTCGGGGTCGATGCTGACGAACGGGACGTTGATGCAGACGGGCGGATACGCCGACGGTGCAAGGATGATCCGGTACTTTAAACCTTGCGGCGATCGTCGTTGCGATTGGAGGCAGGGGAAACAGCAACTCTCGGACGACCGTTGGTACGCGTCGAATTTGAGGCTACCGATGAAAAACGATACCGTGATCGTCGTGGGAGGGCGGGGCGTGTTCTCGTACGAGTTCGTTCCAAAGAGGTCCCCGAATGAGGGGGTTTACGAACTACCGTTATTGCAGAGTACTTACGATCGACGAGAGGGCGGGAGCAATCTCTACCCGATGCTCCACCTCTCATCCGACGGACATCTCTTCATCTTCGCCAACCGCGACTCGATTCTCTTCGACTACAAGCGCAATCGCGTCGTCAAGACGTATCCGAGAATCCCGGGGAAGGGGTCGAGAAGCTACCCGAGCACCGGCTCATCCGTGATCCTCCCCTTAAGCCACACGAATGGGTTTCGAACTGTCGAGGTCATGATTTGCGGGGGGGCGGCGCCGGGGGCCTTTTCCGCGGCGAAACAAGGCCGGTTTTTAAAGGGATTAAGCTCGTGTGGCCGAATGGTGATCACCGGAAATACACACCGGTGGAAAATGGAGACAATGCCGGCGGCTCGGCTAATGAACGATATGATCATGCTCCCGACGGGGAACGTCCTCATAATAAACGGCGTCAAGCACGGTTGCGCCGGGTGGAACTCGGCGACGTACCCGTCGTACCACCCGTACCTCTACAAACCTAAAAAGGTCGCCGGGCGACGTTTTACGGTCCTGAGGGCGTCGAGCATCGCCCGGATGTACCATTCGTCGGCGTTGCTGCTACCCGACGGGAGGATTCTCGTCGCGGGGAGCAACCCGAACAACCGGTACGTGTACCGGAACGTGGTGCACCCGACGGAGCTCCGCCTCGAGGCGTTCGTCCCGCCGCACATGGCGAGGAATTTCGACGACGTCCGGCCCCACAACGTGTCAGTGTACGCCAACGGGAACGACGAGGCGGTCGCCTACGGAGAGGATTTCAGCGTGAAGTTCGTGTTGGGGAAGAAGGACGACGAGAAGAAGACAAGAGTTGCCGGGAGCAACGTCGTGTTCACGGCGTACGCCGTGCCGTTCCACACGCATTCGATATCGATGAATCAACGGCTGCTGATGCTGAGGTGCAAACACATGGTGAGGACGGCCGACGGGTGGATGAACGCGCTGGTGGCGGCGCCGCCGTCTCAGACGGTGGCGCCGGCGGGGTATTATTTGCTGACGGTGGTGAATGACGGGATTCCGAGCAGATCTCTGTGGATAAAGTTTGTGCATGGTTGAGTACGTACGGAGAAGCTCAAATAAATTGAAGTAGGCATGTCTTAGTATGTGAGGTAGATTATAGATTGATTGAATTTACTCCAATAAAACTAATTTAAATTAATTAATATATAATAGTAATAACCTATGTCGGGGCCATGGAATTTTGTAACTTTTTATTACTTCAATAAAAGTAATTAAAATTTTTAGACTTGCTTTTAGAGCACACAAGAGCATTTGTTATAGTCGTTATTTTTACCTTATTATCTCTTTTATCTCTCTCATTCATATTATTTTTATTATTTTATAGATCCACAATAATTTATTTATTTCTATATATTTTTATTACATAATATATATATAAATTATTTATTTATTTATACATATTTTTATATATTTTATTGTCTAATATTTCACTGGCCATTTCGTTGAATTGAATATAAAAAGGTAGATAATTGATTAATGAAATTTAAATATATTCATAGATAATTTATATTAAATTTAAATTTTAAAATTTTGGATAATTTTTAATTTATTTTAATTTTTTTTTTGTTAAAGGTAATGAGTTCTTCATCAAAGTAATCAATTTTGATAATTGTATTTCTTATTAAACACAATGAGTTTTGTTATAGTAAAAACTGAAAAGATAATTACGAAGGTAATAAAAAAGGTGACTGTAACGGATGCTCTAATTAACTCTTCTAGTTTTGAATATTTGATTCTCAATATAAATGTTTATTTTTTATTTTATAAAATTATTAAGGTAAAATTATTTGTAATTTGTTTATGATTTGAAATAATTGAATCATACCTTCTAATGGGTGTTTTGGAAAGAGCTTAATAAGGAGCTGTTATTAAAAATTAAACACCTTTTTAACTTTTTATCAATCAAAAAAGTTATTGATTTATGTGTGTATAGTAAATAATTTTTTTAAAGATTTTTTTAATTTAAAAAATTATTTTTTGAAAAGCTAATTTACCAACGTTTAAAAACTTTTTCAATTTAGTTTTTATTCTTTATTTACCTTTATAAATTAATTATTTATTTCATACATGTAAATATATTTTAGTTGTAGTATTTATAAATTACTTTTAATATAGTTTATTTATTATATTATAATTTTATTTTTCTAAATTTAAATTTAAACTTAAAATTATTATTATTATTATTATTATTAATTATTAAGTATAAATTATTTTATGTGTAAAATATATGAATCTATTAAAATTAAATAAAATACTAGAAAAAAAATCATTATTAATTTATTTATATATTTTTTATTATATAAATTTTACATTAAAAATTAATAAACTATAATTAATATAATAAAAATATATATAGAAAAGCTTTATTATTTTATATTTTATAAGATTTTAATAAAAAATTATTATTGTGTTTTAATAAAAATATTTTTAAAAAATCTAAAAAATAGGAATAAATATTTTATAATATTTTTATAATTTTAAATAATTAATAACAAAAAATTTTCAACAATTTTAAACCAAAATTTAAATGCAATGTGGTGTTCAGAAATGCAAAGTAATCAACACGGTTGTGTTGACTGTCTTTGGATGTCCAGTCACCTTTGGAGTCATCCAACACAAGGCGTGTTCAAGCTAATGTCATTGTTCAGTCCCAGTCAACCATCATGGACTACATATCCTACCTTTGAAGTTTGAAGTTCAAACCCATGAATCTTCGAATTTTAAAAATATATATTTATGTATTAGAAAGAATTAAACGAAGTTAATATTAATAGTATTATTCATATTTTGCATATAAAAATGATAAAAAATTTATTTTAGTTAATTATTTATATTTTATTATAGATAAAAATATATATATTATTTATACATAATTAGGGGTCCAAATTTTTGTTTAAAGATCTGTTTAGACAAAATTAATATTAATACTATTATTGATATTTTATCTAAAAATGCTATAAAAAATTATTTTATTTAATTATTTATATTTTATTATAGGTAAAAAAATGAAGTATATTATTTATATATATTTAGAGGTCTTTTATTTTTGTTTTAATATTTTTTATATTAAAAAGAAAATAAGTATCAGATAAAATTATTATTAGACAGAATTGCCAATAACTTTTTTTGTGGTTTCGAAACTCAAGATAAATTCTTTATTTATTTTTAAAGATTGCATGACGTCCCTTTATATTTTAAAAAATATTATAAAATTCTTTTAATAGTTTTTGAATAATGAAAAGATGATTTTTCATCTATATTTTTTGCAGGACTAGGTTTCATATAACGTTTGTTAAGGTATAAAGGCGCTACGTGTATACGAGAAATTTATGTTAAATTTAAAAAATACGTGTGTGAGTTATGAACAATTTTGCGTTATTATTGTTAGTGATATTTTTTGGATACGAAATACTATGATTTTTTTCCTAATTGAGAAATTAAGCAGGTCGATTTTTTGGAGAAAAAAAAAATTGACTTAGAAACATTTAGAAAAAAAAAAATCATTTTTGTCATAATATAAAATTTTTATCAATTTTAGTTTTAATATAATCAAAATTTATCATTTTTTTGTCTAAATATAATCAAATTTTTTTTTTGTCACACCGTCAACAAATCGACAGAAAATGCTTACGTAAAAATAAATCAAACCTTATATTTATAATTAAAGAAATTGCACAATCTTGCAAGTCCGGTCAGCATTTTCCGTCGGTTTGTTGACGGTGAGACCAAAAAAAGATAAGATTTGATTATATTGGGACCGAAAATGATGAATTTTGGTTATATTGAGATAAAAAATATGAGTTTTAGTTATATTGACCAAAATTGATAAAAATTTTATATTAAAACTAAAATTGATGAATTTTGATTATATTGGGACAAAAATCATTTTTTCCAAAAAATTTATTTAAAAAACCCTGAAATTAGACGAATTCAGTCATAGATAGCGATTCAATTTCCCTCGCCCTCGTCTAGTGCAGCCCTCGGGCAAAGCTTCTCGTCGCCGCCCCGACCTATCGTCCTTGAGCTCTCCCCATCTCGCCCAGCATCCCACCGCCGCCGTCGGCACATCGCGTCCTAAAATAAATTAAATTTTTTTGAATTAATTTCTTCCTTTTCCTTCGTCGTCTTCGCCCCTGCCGAAGGTACTGCCTCCTACAATAACCGAAGGAAATCAAAGAACGCAGCAAAAGATCCGGTGGAAGTGAACGACCGAGTTTCGTCCAGTTTTTGTTTCGCACAAGTGAAATTGAAGTCGCTGTTTCAGACTTAAAAATATTGTAATGGAGAGGAAGGGTACAGTTACTCCCATATCCTCCGTGTTCCCGGCCGATGAAGCACAGAAAGCTTCAAAACGAGTGCAGGACACAATTGAAGAGCGCCAGCAACAACTCGAGCAAGTCAAGGGTTTTATTCGTGATAATGTTAGCCTCATAAACCTCGTCCAGAAATTACCCGAGGAAACCCACCACAATATTATGGTCACAATCCGTTTCAATTTGCCTTTTACTGCCTATCTATCTATATATATATGGTGTCTTTGTTTGAATATCGTTGTGATTTGATAGGTTCCTTTCGGGAAAGCTGCATTTTTTCCTGGCCGGTTGATTCACACCAATGAGTTCATGGTAATTCTTTTATCTATGACATTTAGCCTTTTGTTTTTATGACTGTTATTGTTGTTAGGAAAGAATTTGGGGGTGTTTTCTTGTGGTTTGAGTGTGATATTATGTGAGTTTTAATTGGAAATTCTGTGTTGTATTTGATGATTTGATAATTTTTATGATGATATTAATTAAAAGTGAGATTTATTTTATTGTAGAATGAATGTGTATATTAGTAATTCAAGTGTATCTTCAGGTTCTTCTGGGAGAAGGTTATTATGCTGAAAGAACATCAAAACAAACAATTGATATTTTGAAAAGAAGAGGGAAGACTTTGGAGAATCAGGTGGAATCCCTTAAAGCCGTCATGCAAGATTTGAAGGCCGAGGCTTCATTCTTTCACAATACAGCTCATGAGTCCATTGTAAGCCTTTTTTGTTTTTGGCTGGGTGATCTAGCACTCTGGTAATTGTAGATTTCTTTAAATTTGCGTATGATTAGTGATATATCCTATTTTCTCAGCTGACAGTAATAGAGAACAAATCTTGACACGAGCAAATTTGTGATAATTCGATTAGTCATCGTAGCAAGTTAAGTTATATTGTCGTTATCTGTAAAGTTAATATCCTTTCACTTGATATTATATTTAAATAAATATGCTTGAGAGGTTTAACGAAATTCTCTGGCAAGGGATATATATTAGAGCCAGTCTAACTGCTTTGATAACTCATTGCTAACATGTTTTGTCAGTTAAATGCATCATATTGCAAGTTACCTTTACAATGTTAAACGATACATGAATTTTAATTTTTTTTAAAAAGATTTTCTTGTATGAGCATTTATCTGTTGATATGGTGTTGCTAACTTGATATGCAGAGTCATTTTAATGTGTAGTCGTATTGGATTTATTGTTTATGAAATATGGTTATGTATCTAGTTCACCTATAATAAATGATTATATTTCTTATGATAGGAGGGTCTCGTAGAAATAAGGGAAGATTACGTTGAAGAAGATAACTCTAGATTATCACCTTCATCAGGTTGGTTTTCTTTCTTTCTTTCTTTCTCTCTTTGTTTTTTTTTTTTTTTTTTTTGAAAGTTACTGTCATTTATGTATCTAAAACACTATATGGCTTGGTGCTTTTAATTCTAAAATTGATCCTAAGGAAATACCTCCTTAAAGTATATGAATCAATTTGAGTTTATCAACACAAGTGTGGCCATTTTCTGGTATCAAGTTTACAGCTAGCAAGAGAAACAATGGAGTCAAAAATGACTTGAGTTGTGTGAACGTTGTAGAATTCTCAGGACAGTAAAGTTCACCAACTTATTAGCCAATCTAATATTTGCCTGAATTGTGTGAACTTGAATCACAAGAGTATTTTGACTAAAAAAATGCATATACAATGAACTCTGTGTGCATTTACTCACATATAAAATGAGGAGAACAAGAAGATCATTATACAAAACAATTTGTGAAATAAGATCAGGAAATAGAATAACATTTCAATGTGAGTAAGAGGAATTGAGTAAAAAGTGAGAGCAAGTTATGTAATGGGACATCTCAATATCAACAATCCAATAACACGAAGCTTCTCTAATATGATCAGACATATATTTATTGACATAGACAACAATACCTTTCAACTTTCATGTTCGAGAAAGCTACTGGTATGGTTAAAAGATTTTGCTTGAAGGTGAAGGGTCTTGGTCATTGAGAATTTTTTTTTTTTTTTAATTTCTGAACTTGGAGTTATTCATTTGAGATTTTATTGGATTTTAAAAAGTTTATGAATTTATGTGGATTTAGAAAATTCACATAGTCCAAGCTGAGTTTGGTGGATTTTATTAATGGATTTAGATGGATTTTTATAGATTTGATTGGATTAATTTATGAATTTATTTGGTTTCCATAGGATTGTAGAATAATTTTTTATTGATTTATATAATTCTATTCACTTATAGTAAACACCATTGTAGATAAATATATATATTTAAATTATTGCATAAAAATACTAAAAATATATTAATTTTAAAAAAATATATTATTATTCATTATTATTATTATTATTATTATTATTTTATTTTATTTTATTCTTGTATCTTCATTTTCATCACGGTTATACATTGGCTTTATTTTCCACATAGCATTAGCGACTAGATTTTGTTCGTTCTAATTTATTTTCAGAGTGAAATTCTATAATATTTTAAATCTTGGTATATTTAATTTCAAAAGACACCTAGATTTTAAAAGTGCAACAAAAGACACCTAAATTTTAAAAGTCTAACAAAATCTTGATTAAATACCCCATCTAAAAGTCTGAATTTTTGTTGATTTTAGTAGAAAATTATGAAAAAAATGTATGGAATGAAATTTCTCCCGATAAGTAGAGATTTTAATGGATTCTTAAAAATAATAATATTATTATTATTGATGTATAAGTGATAAATATTATGCTAATATTTATTATATTATTATAAATACTAATAAAAACATAATTTAAAATTAAAATATACTGGTAAATTATTATCAAGATTTTCAAAAATGTGTTTTTATATTATAAAAATACTATTATTTTATCATAAAATATATATATTGTTGTCGTCCTCCCATTTTCAATTAACGAATACACTATATTATCATTCCGGTATTAATTTCATTTTGTTTTTCAGAAAATAGTAAATTTTGAAGAAGATTCCCCACACCTCTGACATGAAAGATAAAAATTTAGAATTTTATTTTGAAAGTAAACTACAACAAAAAACTAAAGCTAATATATAGAAAACGAGTATTGCTAATGCTATGCGGAAAATAAAGCCAATATATAACTGTCATAGAAAAAAAGATATGAGAATAAAGATGAAAATTATTATAATCTATTTGTTTAAAACTAATATATTTATGTTATTTTTATTTATCTACAAGTGTGTTTAATATAAATTAATAGAATTATGTAAATCAATGTAAAGTTACTCTACAATCCTACGAAATTTATATAAATTTATAAATTAATTCAATCAAATCTATGAAAATCCATTAATAAAATCTACCAAAATCTGCTTGGACTCGGTGGAATTTCTAAATCCACATAAATTTATAGTCTTTTCAAAATTCAATAAAATCTCAAATGAATACACCTCCCTAAAGTCTATGGATTGTTGAATACAATAGAATTTTGAAAGTCTTTTAAAAGTCTGGATTTAATACCTCTAATTTTAAAAGACATTTAAAAGTCTGAATTGAATATACCCGGATTTTAAAAGTACTACAGAATCCTATGAAATCTCGATTGAATACACCCCCTTGATCTTTGGGAAATATTGATGAAGAAAATTTCATTTCCTCCACAACTCTATGCTTCTTTGGTTGTTACACCTAATCAGCGGAGATATTATATGTTGTTAATCGACAATTTGGTTGAATTAGAATTAAAAGCATTATGTAATTTCCACAATGTGAACACATCAGATTTGATCTTCCCTTCATCACAGCCATTGTAAATGCTTCAGATGTTATTGGATTAAGAACATGCAATTTCCTTGTAAGTTTCCTGCCCTAAGCCCATATTATAGATTTGATCTAAGGTAGGGAATGGCTCATAAGTAGTATGTGTTCTTATACCTTCATGGGCTTCATTGATCCTATTCAAGAATCTAAAAGCATTGTCCTTTTCTTCTCTTCCTCCACAGTTCATACTGTTTTAAATCGGTCTTTTACAAGAATCACTACTACAATGTCACAAGGGTCTGAAACTCCTAAGTTCTTCCCAAACAATGTTCAAAACTGTGACATTTGAATATACAAAATTAGTACATGTAAAAACCTTTTAACTAATTTCTACCATATATGAAATGCTTATACTACGTAGAATACAATGGAAGCACTTAAAGGTGAAATTGAATGAAGTCATCAAGCAATAATAAGGCTATTACATTTATTGCAAGTTGCAATTCTTGTTTGTTTTCTCTTGTTTCTTGATGGATCCATTGAGAAAACCTTGCTTATTATAGATAGAAAGAGCTTGTAAAACGGACTTCTCCTAGATGCATGATTAGAACACAGCTCAGGTGAAATCAGTGGTTGAGCTGTGATTTTTAGAATGATGAATGAAGCATGGTGAAAAAGGATCATCACTTGGAGGAGTTTAATACAAAGTTGAGTCGAAGCTGCCTTTGGGGTGATTGAGTTGAGTAGAAAGGAAGACAAAATTCGGTTTTCCTCTCTCATACCATGCTAGTGACTAGTGAGTGAGAAATTCCAAAATATTAACAATGAGAAATTAGAGTTGCTTATTCAAGAACACTGACGGAAATTAATATTATATGATAAATGATAACTTTGACATTAATTTGTACTAAAGTAAATATGCCCTGAAGATACAAGTATTTTGCTTGCTACGTATGAGAACTGGTAACGAGTAAACTACTATTAAAACTATTCCCACTAGCATAGCTAGTACCTCCCTCTAACCAACTCCATTTGTCTTCTAAAACTTCTAGATAACTGATGCTAACAGCCTTTCACAAGTCCGTTCATAGGTAACTGAACAAATGCAAATTCACAAGTCCTTTAAGAGATTTATGCTTTTCCACTTGTTTATCAAAACAGTTTAGTACTTTTTCTTTTTTTTTTTTTTTTTTTTTTTTCAGGTTGGATTATAAATGTACTTTTATTTTTTGTAGTATCATTTTTTGGATGGTGTAATTTTCATTGTTTCGCCCAAATGAGATGAATCATATTTTTGTTGTTTGTAAAAATTACAGGTCATAAAACATATGATTCAGTTCTTCCTTTCAAGATGGATGAGACAAAAGCTACAGTTGAAGATGAAGAATATAATCGGATATTTTCACGGATGGCTGAACTTGAAAAGGAAGAAGAAGAAGCTGAAAAGGCTGAGAAATCTGATGAGGACGAGCAGATAACTATTAAGCCACAAAATAGCATCCATAAAGTTTCTACAAACCAAATTGGTCGATCTTCACCGGTATTGTTGCTTTGGGGTTTTTTTGAATTCTTTACCAGAAGCTTTTGTAATCAACACTTAGTTGTATTTATCAATTGTTTTTTGTGTCAAATTCACCATTGTAATTATTGCTTTCTCTTCTTCATAAATCAGGTTAAAGCTTCTGAGGTGCCGATGGTATCTAAAGGTAAGTTCTTAAATAAAGCATTTCCTGGCTGCATGTATAGCTACAACCCCGCATATGCATTAGTTTAGCCATAAGTGTAATAAATTAAGCTTGCATTAAGTTTCCTGCATTTGTTCTATCTACAACTCTTGGTTTGTATATGTCTCTTGCATATAATTCATTTTATTTTTTGATTTTTTCGATCCACATTTGGTAAACCTCCCCTCCACTTGTTAGTAGGACTTTAGGAAAAATAAATCTGCACGTTCACAGCTGTGAGTTTTTGGACACTTGATGCCTCACTAGGGAAGTTTGAACTCAAAACACCTTTCCATTCTATCCATTTAGATGTCTCTTCATCACATGGGATTCATCAAATACCCGGCGCAAGTATGCAAACCAAGGCTTCGGAGCTACCTGCAGAAAAGGAGAAGAAAGCTCAAGTTCAAACCCCTCTTGCAACAAGCAACACTGTATGCCTTTCATTTGATACTTATGCATACCACACATTTGTTGAACTGTTTTGAAGATTCCCAAATATTTAGAAAATTATTTGAAGATTAGATAGTTTTTATAACCGTCATGTCCAATACAAGTATTCTTCCTTTACAGGCTTTTACCGGAGTAATTGTGGAACGAATGGATAATAATATTAACATGGAAATTCCAAAGAAGCAAACTAATGCCAATGTCCGCACCTCCTCAAGACCTCCATCAAGATTTAAGGCGCAAAGGGAGAGGGAGAGGGAGAGGGAGAAGCAGTAAAAGAAGGTACAGTCTTCGCTTGCATGATCCTATCTTATGTTTGAACATTCATTCTGCTTAACGGCTGCAACATTAGTTTCTTTGCCGTGGGTAAAATAGCTCTTACATATACTCAGTGTCTTGAAATATTACTTCTTGCTGTGTCTATCATGTTTGATAATTGAGGTTGCTAGAACAAAAAAGAGGATTGAAATTCTTTATCATGTATACAATTTTAGCTCTTCCAAAATCTCAAAACTTTAGGATAAAAGCAAAATTGAGTATATACAAAACAAAATTTGTATTTTCACCTGAATACAAAGCTTATTATTATCTTCTACTGGTTTTTCCTTGATGATCATCAATATTCACGAATGTTATCTTTGTGGGTCGATATAACTTATCTTTAGCAGTTAGATATTTATCGGTTGATTATGTGTGCATTATCTGTAGCCATCATTGTTATCTAATTCTTCATTCTACTATGTCGTATCATGATACATCCTTTCTCATCTATACTATATTTTGTCAATGTTTACAGGCTTATTAGGGTAGAGTGTGGATAGTAGTAATTAGTACATTTGCAAAATTTTTGTTATATTTGTACATTACATTATTGTACGACGAATGTGGACTTAGTTGTTTGTTTGAATTTGATTTGATGCAGTGATCCCAGATTTGTTTGATCAAGTCAAGTGTATAGTCGGCTTCATTGTCACTGTGTTTGATCCCTTTGCAACTAGAAGCAATCACCTGCAACGGCTAGAAAGTATGCAAGGCCGGGTCTGGGCTCGGACGACCAGCTCAATATGAACAAGGGGTTTATTATATATTTATCTTATATATGTAAGATTATTTGACAGAAAATATTATGAAATGATTTGGTGGTGTTGGATAAATTGTGCCTGATAATTCTCTTTTTCAGGAAAAAAAAAGCATGCAAGTAGAAAAAGTAAAATGTAAAATGAAAAAATGAATAAAAATGTTGTATATGAATTTGGATTAAGATGGAAGATATGTATATTTGTGTAATATATTGTAAATTAGAAGGGTATTTGTAATGTTAGGCGTATAATTACTAAAAAAAAAAAAAAGTAGATTTTTTCTTATGGGACGAGATGGACCAAAATGAAAAAAAGAAAAAATAATAGATTGTTAAGGGCCGAAAGAGTAAATTGTTGTATTGTTTCAATCAAACTATTAACACAAAGGATGCAATTTTTTGAAATAATAACCCGAGTAAAATTATTTTTGGTCCCATTCAATATCAAAATTATCAATTTTAGTCTCATTCAAAAAAATTATCAATTTTAGTCCCTGAACACGGCCGTGTTGGTTTGAACACGGTCGTGTTGGATGACTCAGAAGGTGACTGGACGTTCCAGGCCGCCAACACGGCCGTGTTGATTACCATGCACTTTTGAACACGACCGTGTTCTTGCCCATGTTCTAGGCTATGTTCACGATCATGTTTTCAATATAATCATACTGTAGGTCATATTTATTATTTTTTTCACTTTTGGGTTAAAATTATTTGATATATATATTTATAATTTTAAAAAAATATTTTTTACTATTATTTTATAATATAAAAAATAATCAATTTTTAATATTTTTAAAATATATAAAAATAATAATATTTTAAAATAATATTCCTTCCGTCCCACAAGAATTTAAGACAAGAATTTAGGATAACTATAATTATAATTAGTAAATAATTAAGAATGTATTAGTAAAAATAATTATCATATAATATAAATAATTATAAATTAAAATTAAAATTAAAATAACTCATTAGTTTAATTAAAATTAAAATTAAATTAAAAAATAGTGTGTAATTATTTTCAAAAAAAAAAAAAAGTGACATGGGATGTGGGACGGATATAAACGGTGGACATGGTAAATGGGACGGAGGGAGTATTATTAAAAAATATATATTAATATATTATTATTTTTATATATTTAAAAATATTAAAAATTGATTATTTTTTATATTATAAAATAATTGTAAAAAATATTTTTGTTAAATTATAAATATATATATATCAAATAAAAGTGAAAATAATAATAAATATGACCTAAAATATGATTATATTGAAAACATGGTCGTCAACGTAGCCTGAAACATGGCTGTATTGAGAACATGCGCAGAAACATAATTGTGTATGAACACGGTCGTGTTCAGAAGTGCAGGATAATCAATACGGCCGTGTTGGCTGCCAAGGACGCCCAGTCACCTTCTGAGTCGTGTTCAGTCCCAATCAACCATTTTGAGACTAAAATTGATACATTTTCATTTGAGCAGAATTAAAATTGATAATTTTTTTTGAATTGGAAATGATTTTTACTCTAACTAGAAGTAATAACTTCAAAAAATAATAATAATAATAATAATAATAATAATAATAATAATAGATTATTTCCTAATTTAACCACGCGTGAATTTGAAAAGAATTCAAAACTTCTCATACAGAATTGTAATACAGACCTAATATATATTTCAAGAACCAAGATTTGAATCAATATTTTGGCTTGTGAATATGTATTTATTTATTTATTTTCTATTTTTTCATTATTTTCCAATTTATTAATTTCAACTTTGTTCAATCATTTGATTTCGATTCTAATTTTATTCCAACTAATTTTTATTAAATTTAAAATAAGAAATATAATTATTCAAAATTAATTATATAATTATTCTTTCTATATCACTAATACTACCATTTATTTATTTTTATTAATATATTTTTTTTATAAACTACTATAATAAATAATAAATAATTTTAACTCTAAATATGATTAAATTAAAAATGAAATTACAACTCTCAACCCTAAAAAACAATTACAGCGACGCACCTAATAATATTGAGACATTATCTAACCGTGAAGTATGGTTTCGGTTTGATGACCGGTCCGGGTTTAGACTGGCGGTTCGAACCGGTTGGGCAAGTCTGCATTTATAGCAAATTAATTGTCATGGTAAATTTATTTTCACTTTCCAAATAAAATGGAATGGATTTGTAATATTTGTAAGAAAAGGGCAAGCCCTGTCCATCGCCTTCGTTCCCAAATCAGCTCTAATAAACAGCCGGTGACTGAACCCTAATTCAATCACAGTTTTGCTGAGAATTGACAGAATTTGTGAAATATGATGCCGTTGAGAACTTCTTCCTCTCCAATTTCAACAAACAGGTTTTCCTTTCAGCAATCCCTCAATCCCATACCTGCAAAATCTGCATTTTTAAGGACTATGACGCAGAAGGAACTTTCAATCTTTTCCATCAAAGCTCAGCAGGTAATTTTTATTTTATTTTTCCAATTTATTTAATATTCGTGTTTAATTTCTATGTTGTGATGGTTTTGACATGTTTTCCTTTGGTATTTGTTGGGCTTCGCTGCTATTGATCAATTCTCTTATCGTTGTAAGATAGTCTACAATGGGAGAGAGCATTTCTAATAAATTTCAAACTTGAGAACAACTAATTACACAGACACTTTTAAAATTTTGTAGTAGCTTTTGGAAAATCTGGGAATAGTATAAATTGAGTATCTGAAGAGATGTTTTGCATATTTGATTTGATGTTTTTCCACAACTTCGGAAAATATCCATGTAATTGTTAAATTTTTAGGAGGCATGCATTTTTATTTGTGTTGAAAGTCGAATATATCTAGAAAAATCATGCCTCAAGTTGGATTGAATCCTGGGGAAAAAAGTAAAGAATTTGAACTTTCTAACGACTATACTTTAAAAAGATTTAGATATGATTTGGAAGAGTTTTATAGGTATTTAATCATCAAATAAGGGCCGGGATGTGATGATGTTTGGTATAAACGTATGTTTGTGATGTAATAATATATATGAAAGCTAAGTATTTGATGTTTTAAAAAAATGTACGGTTAATGAATAGTGTAAAAAGTTATTTGAAAACATATGTAAAGAATGACAAAGTGATGCTTATACGTCGTCCATGTATTGTTAGCCGGAGTTGAAGGATGGAAGGGCTGCGGTTTCTGCCCCCGAAGTGTCTGATGGTGATGCTCTTAAAGTAAAAGAATGGGAAGTTGGGATGTTCCAGAATGAAATTGCGGCGAGTCAAGGTATAAGAATTCGGAGGAGACCGCCGACGGGACCTCCTCTACATTATGTAGGTCCATTTGAATTTCGGATACAGAGTGAGGGCAATACACCTTGCAATATTCTCGAAGAAATTGTATGGCACAAGGACATGGAAGTTTCTCAGGTACTCTTTTAGTTATCGAGCATATGTTTTGGCTTTTCTGGTGTTCATGAGTCGTAACATGTTTGGTGTGGTAGATGAAAGAGAAAAAGCCGCTTGCAATGCTGAAAAAAATGCTCGATAACGCTCCTCCTGCTAGAGATTTTATCGGAGCTTTGAAGGCAGCGAATTCAAAGACGGGGTTACCTGGTTTAATTGCTGAAGTGAAAAAGGCTTCTCCGAGTAGGGGAGTTCTGAGAGAGGATTTCGACCCAGTGAGTCTTCTATTTCTATTTTCAATATGAAACTCTTTAGGACACATAATTAGAGCTTTATCTTTATTGAAAAACTATTCGAGAATATGGATTTGGATTGTTGGGAATTTGATAATTAGATGCAATAGAAGCTATGGTTTGAAGTTCTTTGATAAAATAGATGATGCATAAGTTTAGCTTTGAGTCTATATTGGAAATAATTTATTGTCAACGGTACATAAAAGTAGGTCAATTGTCGTACAGGACATGGTGTTTCTTACAAAGAATATGAACAACATTTAAAATTGTTGTTTTGTAGACAGTAAATGCGGTCGAATCTGCCAAAAAATAAGGGATTCACTGTTCTATGTTTGTCGTGATAGGTTGAAATTGCTAAAGCTTATGAAAGAGGCGGGGCAGCATGCCTTAGCGTTTTGACTGATGAAAAATTTTTCAAGGTAAGACGAACTTCACTCCTTGTTATCTCTGCAATATGTCTCGGTATTTTTCAGCGTATTTACCTCGAAGAATCTGTTTTTGAAAATTTAGGGTGGATTTCAAAATTTAGAGGCCATAAGAAATTCTGGGGTGAAGGTATATACTTTAATTTACAATGGTTTTAGATTTCTATAATACTTTTTAGATTTGTCGGTGTTTGTAACTCCAATTGTTTGTATTCAGTGCCCTCTCTTGTGTAAAGAATTTGTTATAGATGCTTGGCAAATCTATTATGCTCGAGTCAATGGCGCAGATGCAATTCTGTTAATTGCTGCAGTTTTGCCGGACCTCGACATCAAGTACATGATTAAGATATGCAAACTGCTCGGTTTGGCGGCACTTGTCGAGGTTTCATTGTTATTTCTTTGCTCGCTGAATTACAATATATCCCGTGCCATAATGTATTGTTAGATATTTGTGTTCTTGTATGTTATATGGTATTGTGCATAAAATATGACTTCCGGGACTTATATCATCTACGGTTTTGTGACTCCGCATTTTAGGTACATGATGAGAGAGAGATGGATCGTGTCCTAGCAATAGATGGAGTCGAACTAGTCGGCATCAATAATCGTGACCTTGGTAATTTCTCTCTGGAACACCTTGGCATTTGTTTTTATTTTTCTTAGGTGAAATAGTGGTTGGACGTAAAGTTTTGTGTGAAAATATGATATAATTTTTAAAGAAAAATTGCAAAATTTGTTTTTTATATGAGACAAATCATAATTTTCAGATTTATTTATTTATTTATTTATTTTTTTTTTTCGGATAGGATCACTTGATCTGTACGTGAATTTTTCCAACTCCGGAAGACAAAATGAGGGCCTACTGTATTGTCCTAAAATGCGAAATCCAAAAAAATGTGTCTAAAAACTGATAATTTACCTGGCATATTGAGCAAATTTTTAATTTTCCCTATATTACTTGCGGCAATTTTGTCTTCTTTTTTCCTCGGTTAGTTCTAGTTTCGATACTGAATTTCTAGCTAGTTTCCGCCCATTGCTTTGCTCGCATTTTCTTTACTAGAGCGAATGTATATATGTATATATATATGACTATATGTATATATATATGACTATATGTATGTATGTATTGAACCGTAATATGTAATGGTGTCTTATATTCTCGAGAGTCGTCATAATGTATTACATGTTACTAAAAACACCTTACCTTCTCTACAGAAACCTTTAAAGTTGATCTTAGCAACACCAAAAGGCTTCTCGAAGGAGAACGCGGGCAAAGAGCACGCGAGAAAGGCATTACGGTTAGTGTTCATATAATTAAGTCTCGACCTCTACCCACGCCTTTTTTCTTTTCATTTTTTTTTAATATCTCAAGGTTTGTTTTCAGGTGGTCGGGGAGTCTGCCCTTTTCACTCCTGCCGATATTGCGTATGTTCAAGAAGCTGGTGTTAAAGCGGTGAGTAATAAATAATCGATGACACAAAAAAATATCGTAAAACACTCTTGGCTCCGTTCTCTTTTAATTTTTATTTTTCTTATTACGTAATTTCCGTGGCTTTTTCCATAAAAATACATTATTTTCTTTTACAAAGTATCCCTTTGCATCGATAATTGATTACTGGATTCTGAAAACAGGTACTGGTCGGCGAGTCGATTGTTAAGCAGAAAGATCCAGCTGAGGGGATAAGGCAGCTGTTTGGTAGAGATATTTCGACATAAAAATCTACTTGGTGTAGCTTCAGGTTCTGCGGAATTTCGATGCGAGGTTCTTCTTACATTTGACCTATGCAGAATCAAAGATACACAGGTTTTTGTTTTCATACATTATATATATATATATATTTTGATCGGATTCATACATTATATTTTCCATACGTGGTTTTTGTTTGGTGCTATGATGTTTGAGTCCCATGTAGCTTCTTCGACATTTTCTGTCTTGATGTAAAATTAAGGGACAATAATATTGTTACTATTATGGAATAGTCGGTATATAAGAATGTATTTAAGTGAAAGGTCAAGATTGGAAGTTGTCACGGAAATTAAAGAATAAATTAAAGACTAAAATAATCTTGTTTTTTTAATGATTTTAAAAAATAGATTAGAGTAATAATTAAGGATAATTTGAATGATATTTTTTTTTTTTTTTTGTACGTCACACAAAAATCCCCCATTTTCAATTTTCATAAGCTTATCAATATTAAAAATAATTAACAAATATTTCATTTCGTCTCATAACAAGGTATCCATTTAGTTCTTGCTGGTTGATCTTTTAATATTAATTATTATATCAAATCTATTACAAATAAAGAGAAAATGACAAAACTACGGTGTCTTATGATATTAATATAATGACATTTGTATAAAAAATTATACAAATATAAGGAAATAGATACTTTGATACTTTGCTGTGGGACAGACTCAGTATAAATCAATTTAATTGAATTTTGACTACTCAAAATCCCTTTATTTATGTCTCTCTTCTCACTTAACAAATATTTTTATGTGCCTTTAAAATTTCTCATTTAATATAAAACTAATTTATGGTAATGATAAATAAATAAATAATTTTTTTATTTATTTATATTATATAAAATTTTATTATCATATTAAATAAATAAATATAATTCTAAAAAATATTTAAAATATCAATAATACTACTCATATAAAAACTAATAAAATATTATCGTAACTTATTATTAATAATTTACTAATCTACACTACTTCTAAAATACCGTATCCCTAACAAAATAGCTTATCCTTGGCGGGGGGACGGGGGGAGTATTATATTGTGCTGAAATCACTGCTTATTGTCAAATTTGCCTGTGTTGATGGGACTAGCTAAAGTTGTAAAACAAATGAATAGTTCGTGAGCTTAGCTTAGTTTGGTTTATTTGAATTAGCTAAGAGCTTGTGGCAGACAGAATGAAATATATTAATTTATTTGATTGTAATTTCAATTTGAAATTTAACATTATTCATTGCATTCAATAAAAATATTTTTCATAAAATATTATACTCCCTCTATCCAGCTCTAAAGTCCAATTTACTTTTTTGTCATTGTATTTAATATTAAAAATATCATTATATTTATTTATTTTTGTACAAATATCCTTCTGAAGGGACTAATTGAATTATTTTTGCAATATTTTTTTAATTTGTACTATATTTTATATAATAATTAATATTTAAAAATAAAAAACTAAATGAAACACTTGAACTCGAAAAATGTAATATCAAAAATTATTTTAAATAAAATCTCAAGTTAACATCTTATTCAAATTAATTCTAAAAAACAATCAAACAAATAGTTTTCAAATTTGTAAAATTTTTAAAATAATTTTAAATCATAATTTAAAATTTTAATAAGTAGATATTTTTTTTAAAAAAATAATAAATAGTAAAACAATATTATTAATTTATATAATGAATAATTAAAAACATAAAGGTTGGCGCAGTATGTAACTTTGAATTTGCACACAAACGAGCTTTCCATGTTTTTTGGTCACTCCGAATAGAACGCAGGCATCATCAATGGAGGATAACACTTATGATCCAGTAAACGATTCCTCTCATTCTCATTACATTGTTTCGTCAATTTTAAAATTTACGAAAACTGCTATTTTAATCGTCCGTTCTTCGCTTTGCCCTAAACAGGAATTGATTCGCGCGATTTTCAGACAAGTTTGGGAAAGACGAGCTGCCGGTACCGGTTCCTGACACATCTTTCTGTTTTTTGGTGATTAATATTTTAAAATTCAAACCAATACTATAATGCCTATGTTTTTTCTGAAGATCGGGAGAAGAATCAAATATCAGAAACTGAAGCTGAGGTTCGATTCATTATACCTGAAATAATTGTTGCATTCGTCGTCGTTTCTTCGTTATGTTGTCAATTTTTATTTTTATGTTCTTCGTTATGTTTTCAATTTTTTTTTTTATGTTTTTCGTTATGTTGTCAATTTTGTGAATCATCCATGGGGAGTTTCTAAGAAATGACTACTATTGAAGCAGTTAATTTGTAAAATGTCGTGTAATTGCATTTGATTTTTGAGAATCCATGGAGAATTGTTGGTTGATGTTCCGTTGATAATATTTCTGCAGGCAGGACCCGGACCAAGCACATCCAAGAAAAGCAGGCTTACTTGCAGTAAGAAATATGGCTTGTTGAATATGAATTCCATTATTGTATTGATCCTTCAAGATATGTTACTGCATTCATGTATTGGCTGCAATATGTTGGCTTTGTTGTAAGAATGAATAAAATCGATGGATGAGGCATTCCTTTGCATATAACATGTAGAATTGGAGGTAATGCTTTTCTAGCCCTTATGTTATGGGAAAGAGTTTGTTAGGTTTTGGGACATATAAATCCTTGGAATATTGCATTAATGTCCTGAAAGCCACATTTTGAAGTTTCTAGTTGTTTTGTAAGCAATATAACTTCGTTTATGTTGTCCGCTTGTCGCCAACTTTAAAGTTTCTGTATTTTAGAAAGCGAAGTTAAGCTGTGGCGTTCTTGTTGTGTTATTTAATGTGACATTCTCAGTAGCCTTTGAACTGATACAAAGTTATCCAGAAACATGTTTGGCGGTTTAGTAACAAACCTTTGTAAATCCTGTCTTTGGAAAACATAAAAGAGAATTGATTTGAGTACATTAGGTCTTCTGCTGTTAGACATTCTCTCTGTCAAAGTTTTTAAATCAATGAGCTTGATATACATACATTGTTAGACCTACTTGTGTTCTGTTATGAAATGCAGTCACGGCAAATCCACTGAAGCTGAGCTGTGAACTCCTTCGTGTTTTTGTGACAGGTTGGATAGCCTATAGAAATTTCAATGTATTATTATTTTCCAATTCCCTATGTAGCTGTAAAATGCACATCAGCTTTATCTCTTTTTGCATCAAGTAAATTGATTATTATCCTTATACCATTTTGTAGAGGCTATTCAACGAGCAGCTGCTATTGCTGAAGCAGAGGGTTCTCTTAAAATAGAAGCAACTCATCTAGAGAGGATACTTCCCCAGCTACTTTTAGATTTCTAAGGTGTGTTAGATGTTAGAGCCAGGCATTTCCTTGTTTTAACAAAGTAATGGTAGGGAACATACACATCCATGTGCGCACAAATGTTCCTTTCATATTCATGAGATGATTAATTTAACCAGAATATGTACATTTTCTGAAATGAGAATATACATGCATGATATATCTAGAATAATCCTTGATCAATCGATAATTTTAGTGCAATAAATTGGGTTATAAAGAACATCTATGGCATCTACAAAGAGGACACATCACAACATATCAACATGGAAGTGATGATGAAACATTTTGGTAGCTATATAGAATTTTGCCACTTTCCAGACTTGCTAATTACCAGCTGAAATGGTGTATCGTTGATATGCACTCTCTCTTTTTTTTTTTCTTTTTTTCTTTTTCTATTTCTGTCTTCTACCGTTTGCAGACGATGGCATTTATTTTCGAGACCAAAGAGTTCTGAATGGGGCAATCAAACCTGGAAAAGTAGGGATTTCAAGTGATACAGTCATTAGTTTATGAAATGGGAGACATGACAGATTTAATACTAAGATAGGTAGCTTTAGCTGACTAAACTGATTCTAACTCACTGACTAACATCTATGATCTGCTTCTGCTTCTTAATGCTTGTTTCTATATACCCTATGTGATCGCCTAAATTTACTTTCGACTGTTTTCTTGGTTTATATATGGTGATGGCTATACGTATATTATAAATATCTATGCTTCTCCATTTAGTTCCTTAAAATTAGGTTATTAAGCTCCGCTTATCTTTTCCATTTTTAGAATTGAGGTTCATACACCAGTTTCATCATATATATTTTTCGATGAAACTGCTTAATATAGCTTGAAAATTTGCTAACAGTTTATGCATAAGATATTCCTAATACAAAAGAAAATGTTAGGCTGACTAGGATCCATCATTATTCTTCTTAATTAGTGCAAGCAAAATGGTTGAAAAACCGAATCTTTGATGAACAAGGACTTGGGAAACATTAGGGGCTACTGTTTGGATGGATTTGGTTCAACTCAATGGAAATCAAATCTTTCGTCTAAATCAATTCTTTCTTGTTTATGTTTTCGAAGGATATTTGATCTCTTCAAGATGGATTTGAAGTTAAATTTTTTAGTATTTGAAATCCATTATTAATTCTAGTCATTTCTTAATATATTAATTATTGTAATATTAAATTGAACTTGACTTTTAACAAATTTCATTTTAGTGCTTCTAGGAATGTGTTTTGTTTACAATTTCTTTAACAAAATATTTCTACTTATTTGCTATGTGTGATATGGTTGAATATCTTAACTGTGACAGGATATTTATATTTACTAATTCAGTTGATAATATGTTTTATTTTAATGTTACCTAGACTTATCATAGTTATTGTATTAATGACATAAATGTATAGATCTTGTAAATTCTACATCATACTTTCTTCAAATCAAATAAATATCAAAGATATAGATTTGAATTTGGATCTATTTCAAGTATGAAGTAATTCGATACGTTTGGATAAAACTCACTTTCAAATCCAAATCCAATTCTTGGCCTTAGTGATCATTCAATATCATCAATCACATTTCACTACACTTCACAACTCCATACTCTCTGTTTTCGAACTAATGGCTTATCTGAGACAGCATGGCTCGGACATTGCTACTATCCGGCCTCTCGATGGGATTATCCAGAGTGCAGAAGCAGGCAACCTTGAGAACCAAGAGCATCTGCTCCGTAAAGCCACTTCCCAACAGCTTTGGGTCGATTGCCCTTCTCGGATCTTCAGAAGTCATCATTTTCCGCATCCATTGAACCATGCTCATTTCATCTGTCCGCTGGAAGAACTCATCAGATGGCATCCTTCCGATGACAAGAACACCAAGCACAACACCAAAGCTGTATACGTCGCACTTATCAGTGAACTTAAACGTCTGGTAATACTCTGGTGCTATATATCCTACTGTTCCTGCCACATTTGAAGTGGTAACATGTGTGTGTGCATCAGGTACTGCCGCAGCTAGCCCAAAATCCGCGATCCGGGCTTCCATTTTATCATCCAGGAGAACATTTCCAGGTTTCAGGTCCCTGTGAATTATCCGAGGCTTATGATTCATGTGGAGATACTCAAGCCCTGCCGCAATCCCCACTGCAATCTTGTGTCGTCCCAACCAATCCAGCTCCCTTTTACCGTCTGCTACAAGTTTGAGATAATCTTGCAGGCTGCCATTCTTCATGTACTCGTACACCAAGTAATGGCAATGCAACCGTGGAAGATAAGCCAGAAGAGGTAGTAAATTCCTGTGCCTAATTTGACCTACGGTCTGAATTTCCGACCTTATCTGCCGCATTTTCCTGTTTAACATCTTGCTGTCTTCTTCTATAAGATCTCCTGTATTTGTAGGGAGCTGAATTATCTTCTTTATGGCTATTTCGATCCCGGAGCTTCCAGGTAACGCCATTTTGTAAACCTCCCCACATCCTCCTCTTCCTATCACCTCAAGTGATTCTAATGCATCTTCTTTATCTAGGAACGCCAAATCCTCGGGATTCTTGATCACAGGGCTGAAAATTGTCAGTCTTGTGTCTGTTTTATGATTCTTGATTAAGTGCATGATCAGCTTGAAAAGCAAGGCCAGCACTAATCCGGACACGGCCCCTGCTAAAATTCCCGACAGGAATTTGAGGATCCATTCTACTGCCTTCTTTCTGCTGCTTTTGTGCTTATGATTCGATGTAGATGCCGAACCAGTTTGATTTCCCTGTCCGGAGGTTTCGGTGTAGACATATCTTTTGGGGATGATGCCATATTTCTCTGCCAATCCAGATGTCGGATTCTGATCATCGATCAAACTGTTGCCGGATATGTTTATGAATCTCAAATTGGGGCAAGACCTCGTCAAAGAAGGTAATTTTCCTACAAAGTTGTTGTCAGCAAGATTGAGTTCTAACAGGCTGTGAAAAGATTGCAGGAAATCGAGGCTGCCATCAAGCTTGTTCGAGGACAAATCCAGGACACGGAGGTGGATCAAGGAAGACGACAACCCGGCCGGAAACTCGCCGGAAAAGTGATTGTTTTTAAGGTCTAGGATCTCGAGGTTGTGGCAGTGGGTGATTTGGGGTGGGATTTGGCCGGAGATGTGGTTGTGTGGCAAGGAGAGGTGCTGAAGCTCGGAGAGGTCTCCAATGGCGGGGGAAAGGGTTCCTTGGAGGTGTTTTGAGGGGAGGACGAGATGGGTGACTCTGAGAAGGTAAGAAGAAGCGTTGGAAAGAAATGGGCTGCAGAATATTCCGGCGGCGGAGTTGCAGAAGGTGGAGTTGGTGGTGGGGTGGGGGAGGTTGAGGTGGGTGTGGATTTGGAGGAGGGCTTTGTGGTCGTTAGGGTGGAGAGGAAGAAGTGGTGATTGGTGGGTTAGTGTGGAGAAGAAACAGAGGATGAGGAGGAAGAAGAAGATGGGGGGGTGGTGAGGCATTTCTGATAGGGTGGGGTGGGATGGGATGGGTTGGTCATTGATGATTGAGTATTAATGAATGGGATGGGGTGGTGTTAGGCGTTGAAATTTGAAGGGAAGACTGGACTAGCAAGTGGGAAAGTCGTCGGTTGACTTAAGATTAAGATTGGATTTTGGATTGGATGGAATCTTGGATTGTTTTAAGGGGCAGACATGTTCACACACACGCCATTGGTCTATGACTACTACTACTACAGGTACGCCGTGTCAGTGTGCGTTTTCGTTGACTTCGGAGATTACTATAATGACCCTCGAACCACCGCTTCTTTTTTGCTATTTGATCCCTCCATTTCTGCAATTTAGATTATACTCCAGAGTTGGCAATGAGTCGATTCTTGTTCAATTCGTGTCGAATTGAATACTTTAAAGGAGTTAAATTATTTAATTATAATTCGACCCGTTTATTATCGTGTCGCGTTCAGATTGACTGGGTTGATCTGTATTCATAATTAAATCAAATTTTTTTATTTAAATTAAATTAATTTTTGTCGTGTTACGTTAGTGTTATGAGTTTTTATTGGTACGAAGTTAAATTAGGTTGAATTATTTAAAATTGAATGTAGTTTAAAATGAATTTATGAGAAAATTATTAAATTATGATTATTTTACATATATAATAAATATATTAATCAATATTAATATATTATAATCGGGTTGTCGCGTCGGGTTCGAATTGAAATCCTCAACCCTAACATGACCCGTTTATTATCATATTAGGTTCGCGTCAATCCGTATACATAATCGGGTTGAAATTTTTTATTTAAATCCAATTATTTCGTGTCGAGTTAGTTTTTACCGGCTTTAGTTCAAATATGGGTTCAAATATTTGAGCACACATTTTAATAAAAGTAAGTAATAATTATTACTTGAGTTGTCATGTTTAAAAAAATTATAATTAGTAAATATTCACGTCGTCCATTAAAATTAGTCTACTTGGGTCGGGTATAAAAATTAAGAAAAATGATTATTTTATTAAAAAAAAGATAAAAGTAAAAAGATAATTGATAATATTTTTGAAAATTTATTTAAAAATTAAAGTATATAAGGTAGTGAAATTTGTTGTAAATAAATGTTAAGTGTAAAATATTGATTTTTTGACTTTTTTAAAATTAGTTAATAAGGTAAATTTAGGTAACAGACTTAAAAAGAATGTGGGAATAGACTTGGTGGACAGAGGTAATAATTAAAAAAAAATATATTAGTAAAAAATAATTATTATATAATATAAATAATTATTTTATAAAAAAATTTAAAATATATAATTTTTAAAAAAAGTAGACAAAGTTTGTGAACGATCGAAATAAAATACTATTTTTGTCATATTGAAAGGTTATCATTTTTCATTTTAATCCGTCTCAAAACAAAGTTACTGTTTCCTAGTAATTGTACTGCCTACCTAACATAATAAATACCCTTTCAAATTATATTATATTACATAAATATCATTACTTTTATATTACACAATACTAATAGGGGTATTTTTATCTTTTTCATTATAACCCATTATAATACTAATATTAAAAAAATCATTAGCAAAAAATAAACGGCAACCTTATATCGAAACGGATGAAGTATATGGATAATCTATTTAGAATAAAAGGAATATTTTTTACTCTTCATAATAAATAATAAAAAAAGATATATTTTGAAATATGACAGACAAATATGATAAAAAGTACTTTGAACTGGGACGAGAAGAGTATATATTTTTGCTTAAGAATATAAATTTGAACTAACAGAGTATATTTTTTCTGAGATTAGATTTATTTTAGGTTTTTTTAACAATAATATAGTACTCACTCCGTCAATTTAATAAATTTACATTTATTTTGTGTATGGTGCTATGTTTTAATATAATAATTAATATTTAAAAATAAAAAAAAAAAAAAAAAAAAAAAAAAACAGATATCAACTTTATAAATGAACACAAATAGTATTATTTTTTATAAATTAAATGTATAAGTGGTAGTGATAGTGATAGTATTACAAATGAAAGTGCACACTGACAAAATAAAAAGAAAAATATATATGAATTTGGTGGATTGATAAAATATATTTAATTTTAAATTTTAAAATCAAATTTCAAAAGAATATATTCTTAAACTGTTTTTTTTTTTAATTATTATTATTATTATTTGAATGATAGTTGAAATATAATATTTTATGAAAAAAATAAAATAATAATATATTTTTGTATGAAATGACAATAAAAAAGTGAAACCAAACTTATTTATATTTTAAGAATTAACAGTACTCCCCAGTCTTAGTTGGTAAACAATAGTGAAATTTAAATAATAATAATGTGAAAACTAAGGTAATTTTATGATGACATCATCATTTTTTGGTAACATGACTATTGTTTTAAAATTACCAAAATATTAAGATAGACTTTTTCTTAAATGACAAATTATATACTTCTTCCGTCCATATATAATGGTTTTGTTTGTCATTTTTTTTTATTCCAAAACAATAGTCTTATTTTCATAAATAATCATATCACCATAAAATTATTCCTATTTTTTTCATTTTTATTACACAATTACCACTACTTTTTACTCCAATACACTTACAAGGGCAAAAAAATCTTTTATTCATATTTTTTTACCCACTACTAATATTTTGTATTCAATTCAATTAAGACTATATTTATGGGACGGAGTGAGTATAATTTATTACTCTTTCTTTGTTTGGCAAACTTATGTAAATTTGTCTGAAATAATAATAATTTAATATTAAAATAGGGTAAATAAAAAGTATATTAGAGGTATTATGAAAATTTTATTAAAGAATTAATAAACATATAATTGCCTAAGTAAGAAAATATTAGCAAATATTATTTATTAAAATAAGACTTATAAAATTATAAATAAAAATTATTTAATATAAATATAAATAAATTTAATGGATAACAAAAAAATATAATAAGAGGAAATAATTATTTTTTTTTTGAAAATATTAAATTTTATAATGCTTTCAAAACATATCTAATCATACTTTGACAAGATTGAAGCTTGTTGATGCTATTTGTAAAAATTTGCATTTAGATAAAATTTGAAATTTTAGATTTAGTTGATAATATAAAATTTTGAATAGAAAATTAGATATTTGATAATGTAACATAAATATTATTTTGAATAAATAGTATTAAGTTCTTTCAATTTAAATGTATACATTTATTTATTTTTTAATAGATTAAGAAAATAATATTAATATTTTATTGATGTGTGTAAGAATATTTTGATGAATTTATCAAGCATATGGACTCTATTTTCATTATTTAATAAAAGTATATTTATAATTTAAATAAAAATTAATTTAAAAAACAGAAATAACAGAAAAATGTATATAGTGTAGGAATAATCACCAAAATGGTAATAATAAATTTTGAATATAAATCTTTTAAAAAATAGTACTCCCTCTCTTCTAAACACCCTGCAACATTAATCTCAAGTATCCAGCATCATTTTTAAAATAAGAAATAATTAATTATACTTAATCACTGCTCCACACTTTATTTATTTACATCATCCAAATAAAAAAATAAAATATATATTTATCTCTCCATCACATCACTTAATTTTTAAATTACCCTACTTAATATTACCAACTTAAAAATCCGTGCCAAAAGCAAATGCTGCATCTTGTTTGGGACGGAGAGAGTAATAATTGTTACTCTTTTCGTCCGTCAAATTTATTTCTACTTTTCTTTTTAGTATGTCCGCTAAATTTATCACATTACTAATTTTGACAAAGTCAACATTTAATTATTATCTTTTATTCAACACTTAGTTATAACAAATATCACTAGCTTTGTTACATTCTTTCTCATCATCTATTTTTATTTCTAACTAAATTTCCAAAAATACGTCCAATTACCTATCACTTTTTCAATAAAATATTTTTTTTTAAACCCCATGCCGAACCCAAATGGGCTATGTTTAAACGACGGAGGGAGTATTATTTTTTATAATTAATGCAAAGACAAGTTTGATGCCATGTGTATACAGAGTGTGAATGTTGACATGTAGGCTATGACTATATAAACTATATTCAACTTGGTCCCAGGATCCAGACCTACTAGTAATAAATTATTGTTTTTTTTTTTTTAATTTAAATATTTAAATATGAATTATTATATCAAAATTTTTAATATTTATTAAGCAAAAAAAAATATTTCTTTGAATATCTTATACTATTAATATAAATATTGTTAAGTATAATGATACAAATATTATTAATTTATTTTTTAAACAAATTCAAATGCGCTTTTACCAATCTTAAATTGTGTTTGTTTGTAATTATTTTTTAAAATTTTAGTTTAAATAGTAATTTGATATAGTGTACTGTAGAAAAATGTATATAAATTACTTTTATAAAAATTAAATAATAGAAAAAAGATTATTCCACGTGTTTCATGCTACTCGGGTCAGCGCGTAAGCTAGTGATGTGTTCGGCTACTGGAAAAATTTATAAAATAAACAGGGTAAATTATATAACATCTCCTTGTATTTTAGTAAAAATGTACAAAATACGATATTTATTGCGTGAAACCCCTTTATGTTAATGGAAAGTTTGAATGAAATACCCTCTTTATCTAAAACTGATGTTTGGTTCGAAATAAAAACCTAAATTACAAAAGTTTTATACAAATAAAAAACGCAAAACATTTTAAATAATTTTTTGCATTAAATAAATAAATAAATTATATGTACTTTTCTTGCATACACTTTACTTTCTTCGCGTAAATTATGTAAATTTGATTGAATAAAAAAACTAAAAAAAATTATAAAATGGGGTAAAAAATAAAAATTGGATGTATTATAAAAAGATTATTAAATTATCGATAAACAGTAATGGGATAAATAATAAAACAATGACAAATTGATTATTAGTTTTTAAAATAAAAATAATAAAACTGTAAATTTATAAAATTATTTATTATAAATAAATTATGCATAATTTTAATGGTTAAAAAAAAATTGTAATATAATTTTGACGAATAAAATATTTAACTTATATCTTTTAATATTTTATTTGCAAATATATCACAATTATTTATATATTTAATTTTTTTTTTTGATTAATTTACTTATATATTTTTTAAAATATTTTTGTTTATATTTATTAAAATTTATGTCTAATTCAAATAAATATTTTAGTGGATTTTAGTGAGTATTATAATTGGTGGACTCTGTAGCCAGCCTGGCTTGAAAAGGTTTATACAATAGTGATAATCTATTTTAGGTCAGGGTTGGAGTGGGCCTCATTCATCTGAATGGGCCCGGCCCACTTCAATAGCTTGGAGGTTTGGTAAGGATTTTTTTATTTATAATTTTACTATTTTATTTTTTTTATATCAAATTCCATATTTGTTATTATTTTTTAATTATATTAGAAATTAATTTTATATTTAAAATATAAAATTAATATTTATTTATATTTTATAAAAAATTAAAAATTTTGCTTGCTCAGTTGTTCATTATTTTTATTTTTGTTCTTAAGAAAATAATTATATATTTTAATTATATTTTAAATTTTATAATTAGTAGCTTTATAATATTAGTTAAATTAATTTTAATTTATAATATTTTATGTTATATAAAATAGTAATTAATTTTACTAATTTATTTAAAAATTATTTATTAATTATATTTTGCCGAACGTCTGGACATAAAAGGCAGAACATGAGTATTATTCATACCCAAAATTCAAAATTTATGTGTTTGATATTTTTAATTTTTGTACTTTATATATAAATTAATTGTATTTATAATATATTTTTAATTTATATAAAAAAAGTTAAATAACAGATTATTTTTTGAATAGGATATACAGATTATTTTTAAATAGAATATGCAAAAAATAATAAAAAAAAATATTTTTAGTTGCAACACAAAACAGTATAAAGTTCTTCGATAGAGTTTGAACCGTTGAATATCAAATTTAAATTTAAAAATTTATTTGATGTATTATTTGAATATAAATTAATTTTTAATTTAATATAAAAAATACGTTCCACACAATTTTGACAATATTTTTATTTTTATTTGTCCGATATCTTTCTATTTTTAATAAAAATTATTAAATCTAGATATATTTAACAAATATAAAAATGGTGTAGGACCACTTAAAATTCCTTTACTTTGTATTATAGAAAATTTTATTTTTTATAAAATGATATCGATATTCCATATATTTTTTAATTGCTATATAATTTTTAAATATTTAAATATATATTTTAATTTTTTTTAACTATATATATTAAATTTACTTTAAAGGTGTGCTTGTTTTGGAGATTGGATTTTAAATTCACTGTTGATCTCATTTTTTCTTTAAAAAATTCAAATCAAAAACATATTTTTTATTTTTTATATTATATTAAAAATCAATTTTATATTCAAAACATCACGTCAATATCTATTTATATCACAATCATACAACTATTCAAATTCAAAATTTTTACTATTCAAATCCCAATTCAAAATTCAAACCCCAAAACAAACACACGTAAATATTATTAATTACATAAAAAATAATATAATAATATAAAAATTCATTATTATTAACTAATTAAATATTTTTACTTTAAATATTGTGTCCTGATCAAATGTTCAATTCCGATGGGACGGAGGAGTAATACAAACAAATTTTTTTTTAAATGAATAAAAAAAAATTGGTCAGAAAACCTAAGAACAAATTTAAAACTAAAAATCCCACCAAAAGACCGGCCATCGCAGGCGCGAGTGTGTCACCACGCGCCACCGCAGAGTTTGAATATTGATGGCGGAGGCCCCCATCCACCCATCTATCCAAACTGCCAGCAACTGTCAGACCCACTTGAAATTACCAAACTAACCCTCTCTCTGGAACCACCGGTCCTCCTCATCTCATATACATACATAAACTCAGCAAATCTACAGAGAAAACAACTCAACAACTATAGCTGAGAGTGAGAAAAAAATATCTGCCGAATCCTCCTCTCAATCTCATCGTCATCGTCATCGTCATCACCATCATCATTGTCATCCATCTCCCATACACAAATTTGGTTTTCACTATTGAATGAGCAAAACAACTAACCCGACCATTAATGGCGATGGTGGTGAAGTACTGAAGTGCACTTCAATCCTCATTTACAGCATTTACTGCTACAGCGCCAATATACGACGAGCGTGAATTTCTCCATGAACAAAAAGGAAAAAAAGCAACCGAGGACCCCCAAGGCGTAGACTGCAAGTGCCGTTTCCGGGGGGGCAATACCCTAGCTAGGAGGAGATGCATCAATGGCGTTGGACGTACGGACACTGTGTATGTACAGCAATTTACTTTTTAATTACTGACACTGTTTTACCTTTCTTCTTCCTTTTCCCCCTCATTGATAACTTATATTTACATTTACAGTGAATGTTATCTCGTCCTTCGACGTTATTTCGGGGTTTCAGGATGTTACATTCATTTTTCTTAACTTTTTAAATTAGTTTATTTCGATTTGTCGAGTGATGGTGTGACGTTCATTGTGTTGTTGAGTTTTCAGGGGCAAAATGGCGACTAAGCTTTTGCAGCATTATTCTGTGGGGAAAGGTTTTATACATTGTCGAGTCCTTCCTGTCTGCTTTTTGCATTACATTTGTGTCTTCCTCTTTTGTGGAGCTTAGAGATTTGTAGAAGAAAGAATGCAGAAAGAGCAATACCTTTTCTTTGTTAAAAGTTTCGATTCTAAAGGTTGGAGGACCACATTGATTCTATTTTGAAAATCTCATTGTCCATGGCTGCTGTCTTTGTAACGGTTTTCATGTTTTCTACCCACTCAATCTTGGAGAACATCGATTTTGGATTGTAAAGTGTTTGGAATTCTATAGGTGGAACAAGTTAGGAGATGGATCAATGAAGTTCTATTGAATTTTGGGCTAATTTTTTGCTGTTTTTCTGCCATTGTTGGGGTCTTCGATAGTTTATATGTTATTTCTCTGTAAATGGATGGTCGAAGGCATTCGATTGATCTTCCTATATCGAGAACTTTGGTTGCGCTTAAGAGAGTGAGGTCTCTTAGGGATCCATTGACTAACTCGACGAGTAAATTCTCTGCTTTGGTTGATAACTACAATTGGGAAACGAAGTCGAGCAATGCAATTATTTTAGGATTCAATGATGGAGGTGAAGCTGATAAGAATGTGGCTGAGTTTGGAAGCTCGAACATGGTTATGTCAAACAAGCATGAGGTCGATGATCTCGAATTCTTTCATGGTTCAAGACATTGTGGAATCAATGGCAAAGATGGAGGTGGATATAATTGCGCCGTAGCTTCCGGTGACTCTACTGAGGGCGAGAGTTTATTTGACAGTCGAGGAAAGAGAGGTCATGTTAGATCGAAATGGAAAGGCTGTAATAAGAACCATAATGGAATGTCTAGGACCGTAGCTGGAGATGTTTCGAGCCGTGTTGTGAGTCAGTGTTTGTCGTGTAATGGCTGCTGGACAAGGACTCCGAAATTGAGAGAATCTTGTTTCCGAGATAGGTCTGATGCAGAGGAATCTCCGGTGTTGTTCGAGAATTCAGGATTGTATGAAAGTGAAGGGGTGACTCCTTATACGAAAAGTCCGAGGAATATCTGTCAAAAATTTACGCCGAAATCGTTTAAAGAATTAGTCGGGCAAGATCTAGTGGCGAGGTCTCTGCTCGGCGCCATTTCTAGCGGGAGAATAGCTCCGTTGTATCTCTTTCATGGTGCGAGGGGAGTTGGGAAGACATCTGCTGCGAGAGTATTCGCGGCTGCACTGAACTGCATCTCTCCCGAGATCGATAAACCGTGTGGCGTGTGCCGGGACTGCATTTTGTTCTTCCGAGGAAAGTGTCCGGATGTCAAGGAAGTGCATCCGTTGTCGATCAACAGCATCGGAGGGATTAGGTCACTAATCAAGAATGCGGATCATCGCCCTTCACTTACCTCGCGGTTTAAAGTTTATATTATCGACGAGTGCCACTTGATGCGCGGGCAAATGTGGATGATGCTGCTGAACAAGCTCGACGCGCTTCCCCGGCACACTGTTTTCATTTTCATCACACCTGAACTTGACACGCTTCCGTCGACTGCTGTATCAAAGTCTCAAATGTACCATTTTCAGTCGGTGAAGGAATTCGACATTGTGCGCCAACTGGGGAAAATATGTGTGGATGAAGGTCTTGAATTCCAGGAGGATGCCTTACATGTTGTAGCTACTAAATCGAACGGTTCCCTTCGTGATGCAGTTATGATGATTGATCATTTGAGCCTGCTCGGGAAGAAGATTACCATGTCCTTAGTGTATGAAGTGGTGAGTGTTCGATTCTTTTCTTGTATTTTTCGAAATTTCTAAATGATGGAATCCAAATGATTGTTTTTTTTTTTCTTCGATTCTCATTTCTGCTGTGGTACAGAATGGAGTTGTCTCCGAAGATGAGTTGCTGGATTTACTTCGAATTGCGATGTCTTCTGATGCTTCGAATACAGTAAAACGAGCGAGGGAGCTAATGAGTTCGAGGATAGATCCGTTGCATCTTATATCTCAGTTGGCGGATCTCATAATGAGCATTCTAGCCGGAAAACTCGAGGAAGATGCTTCTGAGATCAGGAGAAACTTCTTTGGAACATATGCCTGTACGTATGTTCGTTTATTTTTATAACACCTTTCAGTTGGCGTGCAATGGTATTGAATTTTCGATCTTTTTCGTTTTATACTATTGAATTTCATCGACATTGGAATCCACAACACAAAATGTTATGCTTCTTTGAGTTATGATATCCTTAAATTGCCTTGTTCGATTTTATATGATACGATGAATAAAGGGGGAACCTCGGAATACTAATGAGTATCGAACTTTAGACTTTAGCGTGCTTGTCGATAAAAGTATGAATAAATTTGAATTTTGATTATGAGCTTTTTACATTTTGGTGAGAAACAATCCTTAGGTGAAGAAGTTGTTCTTAGTACTTGGTATTGAGAGTACTTAAAATTTAGGCAGAACTACATAAAATCTAGACGCACTTTAATTACGAAGGTAATTCAAAAACTCTATAATTATAAAGTCACCGTTAGCTAATTACGAATGTGGATTTAAACGTAAGGTTTATGAAAGCATAAAGAAGTATGACGCAATTTTTAAGTAATGAGGGGTTTCGTGCAATTTTCATAAACTACAGGCGTGTTTTATGCTGTTTTGTCTAAAATTTACTTGGAAAATGAATGTCGCGATAACTTGGTCGTCGAAGAGGTGAATAATCATTGATGTTTGATTTTATTTCCTATTTCTTCCATGGTAACGAGGCTCGACGTTCTTCTATGATGCGATTGCTAACACAATGCTTATTTGTTCGATAGCTGAAGCCAACATGAAGCAGCTGAGTCGCGCGCTGAAACTACTCTCCGAAACTGAGAAGCAACTGCGAATGTCGAAGAATCAGGCTACATGGCTTACTGTGGCTCTGCTCCAGCTGAGCTCCGCTGGCGATTCACCCGAAGAAAATGATCCGAGGTTGAGCCTAAGAACATTGCATCATCAAGGTGAGACACAATTCGAAGCAAATTCTCGTACTGACCATTTTCTGTTATTAGTACATCTTAATTCTATACGTGCAGACGGTGAGTATCACGACTCATCATCGAATGGAGAAAGCTTGAAGCATCCTGTGACTGGTTCATGCGAAATCGCAGCGCCTAATAAAATGGGAGTCCCGTGTAATGAAGAAACTCTAGACCTGATGTGGAAGCGAACCATCGCAGTCTGCGGATCAGCTTCTCTCAAAACGTTCCTACACAAACGCGGAAAATTGGTGTCCATTTGCCTTGCTGCAGGTGTGTCTAATCCTACTTTTCTCGAAACAAAATTGTGTCAAACAAGAAGCTGAACTCTTACGCCTCAAAACCGTATCGTTTCCTTGCTTATCGATACTGACCTTAGCTGTTTCAGGTATAGCAGTGGCTGAATTGGAATTTGATCGTCCCGACTACGTGTTAAGGGCAGAGAAGTCGTGGAAACTGATTGCCGGTGCGCTGCAGCGTATGCTGGGCTATAACGTCGAGCTAAGGATAAATCTTTCGAGCAATGCCTCAAGTAAATACGGGAAGTTGAAGAAGCCATGCCTCAAACTCTTCAGCTGCTCCCGGAGATTGCATCTCGGCCCACACTACTGCATCGAGTGTGGGAGCAATGGCTCGGAAACCTCCTGTTACAGTGTCAGAAGCAGGGATAAATTTGCAGAGATGTGTGGCGCTGATTATGTGCCGCAAATCTCAGCCCCTCGCTGCCGGAGAAAGGAGATGGTGACGAGCATTCGAAGCAGCGACGGGAATGCTCTCAGCATTGGAGCAACATTGCTCGATAGCGCCGAAGCAGGCAACCCATCGCGAGCTGATTGTTCTTGGAACAGTGTAATGAATGGCGAATCTTCGCGTTCTGCTGGCATCGAGCAGGAAAATGAATCTAGGTACGTCCCGAGTCCATTACTGAGTTCTTTACGAGCCGTGATAGCTTGGACATTGAAACTTCTTGTCTTTTCTATGCGCTCGGCAGCCGAAGGGATTGGTGGAAATGGAAGCTGCGATGTTGGAGGCCGGCGAAGTTTCCATTTTGGAGGGTAACGAAACGCCTGAGCTTTTTTTTTTCTTTGTATGTTGAGTATCGAAGATACTAAATGCTCGATGAATCGATCCTATAAATGCAGGCTCATAGATTGATGATGCAGAAGAGACTATAAATCTGCAGTGAAGTTGCTGTGAGTAGACTGAGCCTAATGTTGCGATAAATCATTTGTATTTATCGATCTTTATGTCGATGACATGTTAAATTACACGAAGGATTTTGGAGTAACTACTTATGCGGGGTTTCATTCATGTCGATTATTGTTGCTATCTTGATCGAAGATATTCGCTTTCGGGATATATATCTTAGGGTACATCGCAAACCATCGAAGAAACCATTTATGTTTGCGCCATATAACTCGGTCTTAGAATGAATCGATTAGTAGTTTTTTTGCGACAATTAGACAGCTAGAGTGCTATAAATATGAACATGTAGCATGTGAAGTTCTGTGCAACTTAGTATTTCCATCGATCAATGGTCGAATTCGGACATGAGTTGATCGTCAAGATGGAGTTAACAGCCCCCGGAACGCTGCTGCTGCTGCTGCTATCCGTGGATTGTGTGTGAACAAATGGCGATGCGCCGATTACCCTGGATCACAAAGGTATAAAAACATTCGGCAAATTTATAATCTAGCTATAAATCGACGATACGATAGAAATATTTAGTAACCTGTCCTTGCGCTTCGCTAGAAACCGAGCCAATGATTTTCTCCGGAACTGTGGAACGGTGCCTGATCAGCTTATACGCGCCGTGTCAGCAGATGATCGAGCGCGTCGTAAATTAAAAAAGAGTTCTTGCAACTTGCAGAATTCATAACAAAGTGTCGAAATGACCTGATGGAGCTTGTGTGTCGACGACTATTGCACGGTCGCCTTTGTTGGAAGAGATGAGAAAATCGCCCAACTTTGAGACCATTGGCTCGTCGCTGTTGCTGCTGCTCGTGCCTGAATTTGAGAAGGCGATGGATCGAGGAATGCTGATGGATGGTAGAGTTTTCGAGCTCGAACAAAGCGCAATTGGCGTGCAAGATTGAGTGCTGACAAAGCCATCGACGAAAGAAGAACGAGGCAGCGGCGCTTGAACGGGAGTTGCTGCGCTGGCCGACGTTCCGTTTCCGGCCAACAGCATAATTGCCTCAGCCTGTAGATGGACGTACGGACCATGAAAGGCATTCTTGAGTATATATATATATATATATATATTTAAGAAATTTGATAAATGTTTTTGCTAATTCTCTATTCAATTTATAGGAAAAATTGGGAAAAATGAGTTATGTATCGATGCATAATTATTAATTGTCTTCTCGCTCTTTATATATATATTCTATTTGGGATGTTTTGAGCACGAACGAACTGAGCCGTTCGTAAACTCGGTTCGGTTCAGTTCGCCTCGTTACAGTGAAAAAGTGTTATAGTGATGAAAGACAACTTTCTTGGGTACGTTAATAAACGAAGACGAACACTAAAAATTTTCGAAATGACACCGAGGGAAAGTGTTATAGTGGTGAAAGACAATTATTCTTATCATTAACCGCGGTTTTGAAATAAATATTTATTGTGTGAGCTCGTATCGAACAATAAGTATTACTAATTACATTACTTGTTTGCGAACAGACACGAACACTTAAAATTTTGTTCGGCTCGGTTGTTAATCGCTCTAAGCACAAGTAATGTAATGTAAATATGTAATGTAATGTACCTTGTCACGAGAGATATTGTCGTAAACACAGACGGAGCCGTCGTAGAAGATGGTTAGCTGAGCCGCCGCTGCTGCTGCGTTCGACCACACTTTTCCCATATTATTATTATTAATAATATTGTTGTAATTACAGCTGCACACACCCAAAATGCAGTCCAACATGATAATTAATTTATAGCTTTATACTTTACACATACTTTTTAGGCACAACACTGTACTGAATAATACAGTGTGTTACCGGACAGCACACGGTGTTACTCTAGACAAGACACAATATACGTTATTATAATACAAATACAGCACGTGATATAGTTTCACAAAGCACATACAATACATTACTTGATTTTAGCACATGACATACTCTCAGCACACGTTGTAATTATGAACAAACAGTATATGCTTTTATTACATACAACATGCGCTGTTTGTGATAAAAGCATGCGTTATTTGTGTATTGTATGTGTACTAAATTGAAAAATCAGCATGATGTTGATTTTCCAAATTCAGCACCGTAATATTTCCCCACTTTTTAACATTATTAATTCACAATTTTTTTAAAAAAAATCAAATATTACATCAAATAATAATTTTCTAATACTCATTTTTTATAAAAAAAAAATATCAAATTCAAAACACAAATAAAAGCAGGAGTGTGTTTTTGTTTTATGTTTAAACAACGTAAATATTGTTAAGTATCCTACATTGGATGCAATGTTGGGATTCCCCTACCGTACAAGGGGTGAAGGGCTACTTCATTTACAACCAATTGGTTTTAAGTTGGAACCCTGGATCCCCATCTTAACAAATATAAAACATTATAAAAATATATATACATATATTTATATAAAAAAACTGAAAGACTTATATAGTAAAAAATTCATTCTAAAGATCAAATTTTCTCAATATTTGTTTATGTTACCTTAAATCTGTTGTTCCGACAACGGGGATAGTCGGAGGCAAACTTGCAACAGAATTAGCTACCGGAAAAGGTTGCGAACCAACCGAGCCAAATGCACGGCGTTCGACTCCGACTGGCAATAAAGCTGTTGAATTTGTTGCATTATAAGATGTCTCTACACAAGGTTGTGCGTTGGAAGTTATTTTAACCAATCCGGAGGATGCAAGAGCGTTGAATCCTGTCCTAAAAGTGTTTTCCGGTACTCCCCGGATCGAAGCCAACGGAGAAATAAATGGAGCCAGAGCCGGAGCCGAAATCGAAACCGAAACCGAAGGTGAAGCAGCCTTGTTTTGGATTGGCCATTGCATAGCTAAACTTCTAACTGGTGCTACAATATATATATATATATATATATTTAGATGAAAATAATATGTACTTCATTATCCGGCTCTAAACGTCTCATTTATTATTATTATTTTTTTGCATCATTATACTATATTAAAAATATTTTTATATTTGTATATTTTTTTTACACAATATCATTGTAATAGTACTCATAAGACGCTAATAAAAATATTTTTTGTCTTTTTCCCTTAATTTGTATTATATTTTCATATAATAATTAATATTTAAAGATCAACCCGCCAAAAAGATAAATGAATCCTTGGAATTGGACGTAGGTAGTATTTGATACCATCATAATATAACATTTTAAATAACAATAACATATTTTCTAAAAGATATTGTCGATAAATAGTGAAAAAATTAATGATCTATTAGCTCAAAGTTTGATTTTGATATAGCACTATTTATTGTAATTTTTTTAAAAAAATTACTATATCACCATAATGCATTCAAAGAGTAACGACTGCTGAGTTTTTTTCATGTTATAAATAAAATCATCAAATCATCAAATCATCTCATTTTTATGTATTATATTATACAAAATTTATTTTTCATTTAAAAATATTATATTAAATTACATGGTATTTAAAGTAACAATTGCCCATAATTATCAAAATAAAATTTGTAATTTGTATATATGATGATCAGGTCAACACATTTCCGTTAGAATATGTTGCAATTATACAATCGCATGCCCTTATTTTATTTTATATATATATATATATATATATATATATTATATCTTTTTTCTTCTTTTTTTTTGTTATGATGTAGAACCTGCCGCTGCTGTAAAAAATGCGCACCGGTTAAACTCCCGATTGAATTTAATACTCTGCAAATTAGGTCTAGTTTGAACATATCTTACATTATTATTATTATTATTATTATTTGAACATTTCTTACATAGTGTAACGTCACATTTAAAATAAAGAACATATAGGCGAGATTCGTATTTTTCCTATGCCTGTATTTGGGTTTTTGAATGAATAATCATCGAATATAATAATGTACTTAGATGAAGTAATTATTAAATAGGATATTTTTCTAAATTTTTTTGCAAATAAGTAAAAGTTTTATTACTTCTGTTTCGAAAAAAAAAAAAAAATACAAAATATTTTATCATATATTATTTTAATATTAAATTCAAACAAAAACAATTTCAAACCAAATCAAAAAATCACACAAGACCAAAACTTCGGTGTATAATAACCCTAATATATTCTTTTCATTAACAAATACTATCTCAGTTCACTAAAATTAACAGATAACCTGAAGTGTCAGGAATTTAAATTTATAACTCACAATCATAAGTTCAACCTCTACACCACCAGATCATTCTTTACAAGACAATATACGCACATGCATTGTGCCTCTATATATATATATATATATATATACTTAATTTTTAGTAATATTCAATCTCCTAAATTTCTTATAGAAATTAAATTTTAACACTGATTTTTCTTTTCTTCATCATAGTCAATTATTATTTTAATAAATAAATAAAAGAAAAACACACACAAACAAACTCTATATATGCTCGATTTAAGTATTGTATAATCTTTTTTTTCTAATTTATTTACTATACAATTCTCAAAAGTCATATATATATTTTTGTTAAAAACATATTATTTTTATTTTTATAAAAAATTAAAATAAAAAACCAAACAAAATCCCACAAACGTCGAAAATCTATTTCTGTAGTCTACAGATCCACAATAGTTAGTAAACATAGAGAGAGATTCATTTGGCTTTTCGTTTCCAATTTTCTTCCAAAATAAAAAATAAAAATACATCCAACCCTTCAATTTTATTTTTTTCAAAAAAAAAAAAAAAAAAATCGAAGAAAGCACAAACAAATCTAGGAACAAAAAAAAAAAAATTAATAAAATTAAAAATAATAATAATAATAATAATTATTATTATTATTATTATATAATACCTGCATCAATGACTTCATGATCATGAGGAAAACCCACAAGCCCTACCTCCATGTATATCTTCAATTCGATCTTCAGCTACTTCAACACTCAAATATATATATATATATATATATATAAAATAACCACGTCTAGCTAATTGATAAGCTCTATAATAATAATAATAATAATAATAATAAAAGGGTTTTGTGTTGTAGGGAATGAGACAACGTTTGGTTTAGACAAATAGAGCAGACCTAATAAATAAATAAATAAATACTCCCTCCGCCAATTTTCTAACGTCCTCTTTGATATTTACACGTATTTTTAGGCCATTAAAGTTTTTGTTATAAAATGAAAAATCTGGTCTTACTCTTGTGTATAAAAAATAAAAGAGTGAATAAAGTAAAAGTAAAATAGTAAATTTTATATACTCTCTCAATCTCATCACAAAGTATTCATTTTTCCATTTTAGTCCGTTCCATAACAAAATATCCATTTTTTTTTAGTAACTGTACTGTCTACCTAACATTACAAATACCCTTACAACTTACAATATATTACACAAATGTCATTACCTTTGTATCACACCTACTAATAAGGTTATTTTAGTAATTTCTACTTTATTCCTACTATATCCAATATAATACTAATATTTCTAAAACTACGTGCAAAAAGTAAATGATATTTAGTTTCGAAATGGAAGGAGTATAAAAAAAAATAATAATAATAATTATTGGACATTCCAAATAGAACGTTAGTTTATTGACAAATGAAGTAAATAAAAGTAAAATGATTAAATAAATACCTAAGCTATTATAATACGAGCGATTTAATTTATTATTTATCACTCCGTCCATCCCAGATACCATGTCCACATTGCCGTTTCTGTCCGTCTCACATACCATATCACTTTCCTTTTTTTGAAAAATGATTACACACTTTAATCTCATTTTAAATTTTTTTTAATTTTATTTTTTAATTTTAATTAAACTAATTAGTTATCTTAATTTTAATTTATAATTATTTATATTATAGAATAATTATTTTCACTAATACATTCTTAATTATCTACTAATTACATCTCTTCTAAAATAACGTGTATACAGTACAACAGATACTGTACTAGGACGGGGGAGCATTATTTTGACGTGGGAGAAGCGGGTCAGACGTCATGTGCGACGTCAGCAACACATTAAATTAATATTTAAAAATTGCATAAATAAATAAAATACTATACGGTAGTGTGATCGGCAAGCTCAATATTTTTCATGCGTCTGTGGACTGTGGACGTGGACCTCTCTTGGCCCTGTATATATACATATTTAGGTTCAATGAATTTATTTATATATTAATAATTTAGCTGCATGTGATCGGAGTTTGCCTGAGAAAATTAATATAAATATAAATATTAAGTTAAAAAGTCAAAGGATCCGTTAAGTGCTTTGATTGGGCTCTTAGCATAAACATTAATTAAGTAATGAATGAGATTTTTTTATTTTTTTATATGACGTGAAAATCTGTCGTCGTTATCCAAGAGTGCGCATTGGATAAACTCCGATCGAACCTAATACCCTGCAAACTAAGTCCAACGGGAGAGATCTCGTCTTCTTTTAATTGCTTTGCATCTTGTCCCATTCATGGTATTGATAATACTCCCCCCGTCGTGCAAATGTGTGCTCATTTGACTGGACACGGATTTTAATAAAAATGAATAATAATTATTAATTTTTTTATAGTAAAAAACAGTACAAAAATAGAATGATTTTTTATTTAAAAAAAATAAGAATATTTTTTGATAACAATCCAAAAAAAAAAAGTGAGTATAAATTTAAATGACGGATGAAATATTTATTTATTTATTTATATAAGTTGAATACTAGTGCGTGTATTATATGCAAGTGATTTTCTTATTATTGTTATAATAATGCAAGTAGGTGTACACCACCAGAATTTATTAATATGACTTCGAAAAAATTGATTTGGAATTTAAAAGGGTTTTGAGCCAAATTAATTCGGCTTTGGAATTTGTATCGAAATCATACCCAAAGAGAAAAACTCGTTTCATCTATGTTGCTTCGGATGTTCCGAGATTACTTCCAAAAGTTTCCGAATTTCCGAAATCATATACCATTGACGTGATGGAGCGCATGAGATTTAAAATAGTTTAAGAACTTTCGAATCAATTATTAATTTTACTCCCTCCGTCCCATAAGTAAATATTTATTTGTTTTTTTGCACGTGTTTTAAAAATATTAGTATTATATTAAAATATAGTATGAATAAAGTAGAAATGACTAAAATAATTTTATTAGTATGTGTAATATAAAGGTAATGGCATTTGTGTAATATATTGTAAGTTGTAAGGGTATTTGTAATGTTAGGTAGATACTACAGTTACTAAAAAAAGAAATGGATACTTTGTTATGGGACGGACTAAAATAGAAAAATGGATACTTTGTTATGGGACGGAGGGAGTATTATCAATATATGACTTACACAGCGCGCACTTTCGGATAGTGGCTGCGGATTTCCATGTTATTCAAACGATTAAGAGAACTTAAAGTATTATTTTACCGTAGGGATACTATGCTGAAATGCATCATTTCAGCACTGGTGGAGCTAATCACATCCCTTAATTTCAATTAATATCTAATTATAAAAATTTAATATAATAATAAATATATAATTTTATACTAATTCAGCACTGCTGAAATTATATACAAGGTACCACCTGATCCTCTTCCTTATTCTTTAAGTACTATTTATCAAAAAATAATTTATTTTTTTAATATTATATTATATTAAATATTTATTTTCTCACATAAAATATCAATTTTTATTATTTAAAAAAAATCAAAACTTCAATTAAAAAAAAAAAAAACTAATAGAACTAAAGAAAATTGCAACGTAGCTACGATAGAATATTTAAGAAAAGTTCGGCATCAATTATCAATTATAATTTTATCAATACATATCATATCAAATATTTTTATTTTTAACCAAATATTAAAATATAAAAATTTTAACTTTTAATATTTTCAATTTTTTAAAAATTCAAAAACATTTACCTAGTGTGTTTGTTTGGGGGTTTGGATTTTGAGCTGTGATTTGAATAGTAAAAATTTTGAATTTGAATATTTGTATGATGTGATATAAATAAGTGATGATGTGATGTTTTGAATGTAAAATTGATTTTTAGTATAATATAAAAAATGAAAAATAGGTGTTTGATTTGATATTTTTTTTTAGAGAAAATTTTGGATGAACAGTGAGATTTTGTCAAAATCCATCAAACTAAAGAAGTCTAAATGGCATTTAATCACATCCCTTTTAATTTAAATGTATAAAAATATAGCCTATTGGGCTCGCTATATTTTCAGTTGGGCCTCGACTTCTCTTTTGACCCATTTGACACAAATTTTCAATATTTGGGTATTGTTTGAGTAGGGTTGGCAAAAATTAATCCGACCTGATAACCCAACCCGAATTTGACCTAAAATAGTTGAGTTTTGGTTGAGATTTTTGACCAAATTAATAATTGGGTCAAACGTGTTTAACCCATTTAATTAAATGGGTCAGGTTAAGGTTTACATTTTCGACTTGAAAATAACTCGTCTAACGTGTTTAATTAATATTATTTTAAATTTAAATATATTTTCTAAATTTTATCAATACAGTTCAATATTTATGACTAATTTTATAAAAATAAACAATAAAATATAAAGAATTATGTTATGAACTATTATGTAGTTAATTCGATTATTGAATATCGGTTTCATGACAGGAAGAAACTATTGTCCATTCACAAGAATGAATTAAAAGTTCGAAAATTTCGAAACAAACTATTGTAAAATTTGACACTTGTGGGTGATTCAATTAAATTCGACGACTTCGGAAGCTTTAGAAATTTTGAAGCCTTAGAGGATTACTAAATATGAACTCGGAGCCTTTCGAGTTTTTTTTTTTTTTTTACTTAAAAAAATATTATAAATAAAAAAAACCTCTGTAATTTAAATTGGCTTGGAATTGTTCGATTATTCTTTACTAAATAATATAAAATATATACAATAAAGTTTTGAAAATTTTGAAAATCTTTTTACAACTCACTTTCTTTAGTCTTGATACCTTTCGAGCTAGAAATTAAATAAAATAATGGATAAACTGTTTTTTTAGTCCCGTAACTGAACCCCTTTATTATTTTATTCATGTAAGTGGAGCCTGTTGCAAACTAGTCCCATAAGTGAAAAATTTTCGCTGTTTTAGTCCTCCGGCGCCGGAGACGTCCGCGTGGCTCACAGGAGGTGACGTGTCCGCCAGGTGTCCAGCCAGGTCAGCGACACCTGGCGGACACGTGGATTTATTTTTTATTTTTTTAATATTTTTAATATTTTTTAATTGGACCAAATAAAAAAAATACAAATAAAATTTAAAATAAATCAAAAATAAGTTTTAAAAAATGAAAAAAAAAAACAAAAAAAAAATCCACGTGTCCTCCAGGTCAGCGACACTTGGCGGACACGTCACCTCCGGCGAGCCACGTGGGCATCTCCGGCGCCGGAGGGCTAAAACAGCGAAAAATTTTCACTTATGAGACTAATTTGCGACAGACTCCACTTACGAGACTAAAATAATAAAGGTCCAGTTATAGAATTAAAAAAACAGTTTACCCTACAATAATACACATATATATATATAATAATAATGTTTCAAAATTTTATCTACATACTAATAGCAAATGTCACATAATATAGATTCAAAATGTTCCTGCCTTTTATATTTTAAAAATATTATATAGACTCAGAATTTTCGAGATAATTTATGTGACTATTTGCTAAATTTCTGGTAGAAAAAAAAAAAAAACCCCAAAAACGAAAAAAGAAAAATAAAATGAAATAATAAGTGCTAAAATAAAAAATCAAAATCGGGTTATCATTGAACTCGAAATTAAAAAATAAATAAATAAACAAAAAATAAAAAATCAGCCGTCGAACTATAACCAACAATTTTGAACTGAAATTAGAATTCATGTGACATAGAAAGTTCTATTTTGATCTAACATTTTAATAAATTAAAACTAATTAGTCAAGTTAATTTACACAAGAAGTTACCACACTTCATTTTGTTGTCTGTTTGGATTTGGTTTGAAATGTTTTGGTTTAGGCTCTTTATTTGTCCAGTCATTTTGAATATAAAATTAAAATTTTTAGTATAATATAATAAATAAATATGGGATTCGATATATTTTAAAAAAAATTAATGAATGATAAAATTCAGAAATTTTTTCTAGATTGACACATCTAATTAAGTTTTTACCTCATTGTAGAACTCAAAAGAAATTATTTAAGTTGAATGTGACTTGACTTGTGAATTATATATATATATATTTATATATATATAGACGGTCGGTAAACATTAGTTCGACCTGATAATCCGATCCGAACATGACCTGAAATAGTTGGGTTTGAATTTAAATTTTCGATCCAATTAATAATTTGGTCAAATTCGTTTAACTCATTTAATTAAATGGGTCAGATTAAGGTCTATATTTTCGACCCGAAAATATATTTTTAAAATTTTATCAATACAATTCAATATTTATGGCCAATTTTATAAAAATGAACAATAAAAAATAAATGATTGTGTTGTGTACTATTGTAGGTGTTTGTTAATTCAATTCTTGAATATCGGTTTTATGATATGAATAAATAATTTTTTGCTTTAATATGTATATATATTATGCATTTGAAAATTTTGTTACTATAAATTGTAATTTTAAATTAAAATTTAAAATTTGACCCGATTAATAAAAGGTCAGGTTAAGGTTGCAAATATCAACCCATTTAATTAAATGGGTCAAGTTCAGATCAAGGGTTTTGTAACCCGTTTAAGTTGACCCGAACCTAAACCCGACCCAACCTGATCCGTTTGCTAGCCCTATATATATATATATATACACTTCTTACGTCCCTTAACAATATATCCATTTTTTCATTTTGATTCGTCCTATAACAAAGTATCTATTTCTTTTTTTTTAGTAATTGTACTATCTACTTAACATTACAAATACCCTTTCAATTTATAATATATTACACAAATGTCATTACATTTATATCATACAATATTAATAGGGTTAATTTAGTCTTTTTACTTTTATTTATACTTTATCTCAATATAATACTAATATTTTTAAAAACTTCGTGCAAAAAGCAAATGAATATGCGTTACGAAAATCAAAAAATCATGAAAAATACAAAAAGTACAAAAATTTGGTGTTTGATCAAGGATAATTTATATCTATGGCGGGCAAAGTTAAGTATTTACACTAGTAATTTTAAAGTACAAATTAGAGAAAAATAAAATAAAATTAAGTATATCAAGAAATGTAAGTAAAAAATTAGATATTTACGATGGTAATTTCAGCAAGATTCGTATTGCTCAACGGAATAACAAGCAAACCAAGTTTAGTCCAAACTTCGACTTTACAATATATCAAAGTAAGGTGTGTTTGTTCGGGGGATCGGATTTTTTTCTCACTATTCATCCTATTTTTTCTCCCCAAAAACATCAAATCAAACACCTATTTTTCATTTTTTATATTATACTAAAAATCAAATTTACGTTCAAAATATCACATCAACCCCTATTTATATCACATCATAGAACTATTCAAATTCAAATTATTTTTACTATTCAAATCACAACTCAAAATCCAAACCGCCAAACAAACACACCCAAAGTAAATTACAAATTATCGAGAATTCACTGCATGATTTGAAGTTACAAATTTCTATATATTTTGAAAAAATAAATAAATAAATTACTTTTTACTTAATCATAATAAATGTTGATCCTGACCATTCATGGACTAATGTGAAGCATCCATTTCGTATCAAATATTTGGTGGATCTATGGTTTTATGTTTAAGAATATTATTCCTATGGTTCTTTTGAATTTTTTTTTAGATAAAATAGTTGTTAGGTGTACTATTTAATCTTATATGTAAATAAAAATAAATATTAAATGTGCTATTTAACACTAAATTATTTAGACATGTAAATCCTAATTTGGTACTATGTTAATCTCAAACCTTATACTTCGATCAAACAATTATATTTTCAAAATTCTTGACTATTCTCTTGCCTGTCGGGCCTAGTTTGCAGGGTATTAAGTTCGACCGGAGTTTACCCAGTGCGCACTTTCTGGTAGCGACTGCGAAATTTCCACGTCATAAAAATAATAATAATAATAAAAAGAAATTCCTAACTATTCATAAAATATTGTGTATGTTAGCCTTAGGGGTTCGCCAACCGACATGCCTTTCGATGTGGCGCGACAGTGAATAGGTTTGGATATGATGTCACACACAGTCAACATATTATAACGGTAATTTTATCCATATTTGGATCAATTTTAAAAGATATATATATATATATACACCGATCGAACAAATAGTGCAAACCACCCGATCGAGGTCTTTCGACAAGAGAACATTATCAAATAAAAAAGATATCTATATCTTCGACAAGTTGCAATGGTGTCTGAATTTTATCCATGACTTAACTAGCAAAATGAATAATTTGATGCATCTAATAGAGGGCCTTAATTTTAAAATACTACATCCGTCCCACATACCGTGTCTGTTACACCGTAGACACGGTATTTTAGGAGCGGTTTAATTAGTAGATAATTAAGAATGTATTAGTGAAAGTAATTATTCCATAATATAAATAATTATAAATTAAGATTAAGATAACTAATTAGTTTAATTAAAATTTTAAAAAAAATTAATTAAAAATTTTAAAATGAGATTAAAGTATGTAATCATTTTCCAAAAAAGGCAAGTGACATGGTATGTGGGACGGACAGAATCGGCAACGTGGACATGATATGTGGGACGGAAGGAGTATTACCCATTATTATTATTAAATTTTAACTTGTAGTTTATATTTTTTTTCTTTATAGTTATCCAAATAAATTTTAAAATTTTAAATATTCTAATTATATATATATTTTAACTGGTCTCATCTCATTTTTTCAAATTCAATCGTCATCTATAATTCTCTACCTCACATTCTATAGCACTGGTCCACCTCACTTTCTCTCTTCTCTCTTTTTCGCCCTCACTTAGTCCTTCTCGCTTTTCGAACCTTCGGACAGTTCATTTTTCATCTTTTTTTTTCAATTCTACCACGCACAAATTGTCACGTTAAAATTTTTTGTCCAATCGATGTCAATAAGTGATATTATTTTAAAAATATATTTTAATCATGTGTTTATAGGACCTATAATTTATTTTGCCAAAAAAAATCCGAGACGACCGTGATGTATGCATGGGTAGCAATAAAAAAACACAGGATTGGGGCCAACTAATTGCCAAAAGGAGATGAAATTTGACAAGAATCCAATATATGTTTCAACAACTTTTATTAAATTGGACTGATGGGGAAAACTCATAACGTTCCTTTCTGGGCCAAATATCAAAGATTTCCTCCACAATTTCAGCAACTAAACACTTAATGCATTTTGCCCATCTATATATATATATATATCTTCATTTCAATTAATTAACCAAACTATATATATATATATATCTTCATTTCAATTAATTAACCAAACTATATATATATCACATGAATTAATAATAAAACCCTAATTATCGTCGTCTATACACAGATAAACATTATATAAGGAAGGGGGTGGAATTTGTGTATTTTTGTTTTTTTTTTATATCGTGTAATATTATTTTTTTAAAAAAATAATGTATTATTTAATTTTTTGAAAAGTGATATATTATGTGTAAATGTATATATATATTTGGGTCATATTGTAAAAAAAAATTAAAGGTGGGGTGTAATTTATAAATATAAAAAGTTATATTCCATCCGTCCCATAATTAGATATTCGTTTGCTTTTTGCACGGAGTTTTAGAAATATTAGTATTATATTAAGATTTAGTAGAAATAAAGTGGAAATGACTAAAATACCTTTATTAGTATTGTGTGATATAAAGGTAATGATATTTGTGTAATATATTGTAAGTTGTAAGGGTATTTGTAACGTTAGGTAACAGTACAGTTACTTTGAAAAAAATTAAAATTGATAATGAAAAAAATGAATACGAGAGTATAAAAGAAAAATATATAAAAAATATATATTTAGAGTGAAAATTGAAATTTATGAGGATGTAAAATTACTTAGATCATCTGTAATTAATGCATAATAAGATAAGCAGGGATTAGATAACAGTCAAAAACGACGTCGTAATAGAGACGTTGCTATCATTCGTGGAGGAGGGCCTTGTCTAGCTAGTCAGTCTATTCCCTAATATGCCAAACCCTAGGTTAGGGTTTCTTCTTCCTCATGCCAAAAATTAAAAATAATAATAATAATAATAATTATTAATTAGGGGTAGTGGGAAGGAAGCCTGCGGAGAATGCATTTATGTTTATAGTTTAATAGTAGTTCGAGTTAAAGATGCATTTATTAATTAATTAATTAATTAAAATAATATCTATCCATCCATCTAATTAATTATTTATTTAATGAAAGAGAGCTTCTGTATGTATATGTCTGTCGTTGTTAATGCCCCCACTGCTACGACTTTAATCTCCTCATGGGGGCATTTATTCATACTCACTGGACCACTCTCACTCATCATATACATACACATATATATATATATATAATTAAATCCAATTAAATTAAATTAAAATTAAAATAATAGCATTAAAAGAGAGAGACTGATGGGGTTTTCCAGATTGCAGACAAATTCTTACACAAAGAATTGAATTCATCATCAGCAACAGCATCACCAGCAGCAGCAGCAGCAGAAGTCAATGCCCGAACCACACATGTAACCATTTCTTGCTGTCTATGTTTTTTTTTTTTTTTTTTTTTTTTCACTCAATCTTCCTACCAAAACATAAAATAAAATAAAATAAAATTTGCCCAAAAAAAAAAAAAAGAAAATGGAAAATGACCACTACACACACAGCAGCAAGAAAGACACGTCGGGTGCGTTCTTGACTCCTATAATTCTCCAAACAAACTTATAACAAACCAAAACCATATAAAGAAAGAAGAAGAAGAAAGAAATTAAGTAAACCTAAATTTCTAAGAGCAGCAGCAGCAGCAGCAGCATTCTCCGAACCTGAATCCGAGCCTGAATCCGAACCTGCTGATTAATGGCGTGAAAAGAAGATAATACGAACTGGGATTTAGTACCATTTAGAGCGGGCGTTGGATCTGATCACATGCACGTGCGTAATAATTTAAGGATTGTTGCAATTCAAGGCTGCTTTAATTTGGTGGACAGTGTTGGCAATGAGGTTGTTGACCGTCGTCACTGACTCCGGGCTCATTCGTGCCGACGGGAAGCTGCTCACTAGTATTTGAAACACCACCGTGATTAGCGACCCGCCACCGCCGCCCCCGCCGCTCCCGCCGCCGCCGGGGCTGGCGCTGGTCGAAGCTCCGTCGACGTCGGCGCGGCTGCCGTCCGGCGATATTGTGAATCCGGAGGGGAGTAGGGGTATGTAGGAGGGGTCTTCGCCGCTCATGGCGATGTTGATCGCCGGAAGATCGACCGGACAGTAGACGACGATCGATCCCGACGAGTCGATGCAGCTCTCTTGTAGTATCAGCATGTTGTTTTGGCTCGTGTTGAATGCCTGATCCGATACAAAAGATTCATTAACATTTTTCATTTGTCAATTTGTCGATATGTAATGTAATCTTTATTTGTTGTTGTTGTTGAAATTAAGGATTCGATTACCCGGAGAATCGATATGCAGTTGCCGGGATGGGATCCGTTTGCAATGTGCGCAACCTCTTGAACTGGATTTTGGTTCGAGAGCACATCCCACTGCAACACGGGGCGTGTTGTTAATTACATCGTATACAATAACATTGGATATTTGAGGAAGTTAATGGTGTCGTAACCTGAGGCCGAGTTCTTTCATCCTTAAAAAAGTTGAACACATTCTGCGGCGGCATCGGGAGCCAGATCGTCGCGGCGGCGCTGAGCACGATGCCGCTCGGCTGGCCAGGATCCATGCTCTTGTGGAGCGTTGCCCGGACTTCGAACTCGTTCATTCCGGACAACGTCGTCCATTGTTGTCCATTCGGAGGATTGATGCTCGAACAGAAATTGTTCACCATTCTTTGCGCGAGTTTCATCATGCTTCGCTTCCCTTCCGGCGACGGAATCACTACAACATTAGTCAAAACCAGATCATTTCTCTTCGTCATCTCCAACAACACATCGACATCTATATATATATTATATATTGTCCTTACCTCCTCCAAGGTCGCGACTCGAATTCCCCGCGACCATCAAGCAAGCGAACCGCTCACACATTCTTTGCAGAGTCGAGAGCCATCTGCTCGCTCCAAAGGCAGCCCCACTCTGTATAAGATCTCTGTAAAGCCGATGAATGGGCGCCTTCTCTTCAACCTCCCAATGCTCGACCCAAGTCACCTGCAAAACCATTCGACAAGGCGGTATTAAAGTTCACGTAGCTAATGTAATTTCATCCCTAAATCTATCTCTAATGTTATTTAGTAACGAAAAAAGTGAATTTAAAAACAAAAAAACCTCTGTTACAAAAATGATATTTTCTTGTAGTACAATGTAATAAAAAGACAACAAGTATTCGATCCACACCTTCGAATATCCATTAGGCATGTCCTGTATCAAACATCCCGAAGGAAGCCTTTGAGCATGGCAAGAAGAAGACGGAAATTGGCTGTCCTGATGAGGCATTTCGTACGAAACGTCGACTACCGCCCACGATCCCTGCTCGATCTGCTGACAAAATCGGAGGAAGTAGCATTGCCTTAGCGGCACCAGCGCCGAAAGCACCTGCATTTCTCCGTACATCTGCCAAAACGTGTTTAGCGATCGAAAAAAATTCTAGGACAAGTCGAAACGAAGAGTTGTGTAATAAAATCTATTCACCAGCTGCAATGTGCCGTTGTGGCCTCCTAGCATCCCCGACGATATCACTTCGATGGTCCTCGCCCTTGCAACTATTGTAGGGAACAATTCGACCCATTTGCTCTGCCAATTCAGTCACAAAAACTCCAATTCAGACAAAGAATTAGCGGAAAACACAAAAAAACGCAACGATCAGCGCGTATACTAAACGAACCGCATCCATAAAAAGGTCGACCAACGCGACGCCGTTCATGATCACGACGCCGGAATCTCTCGAGGCCTCGCTCCGGACATTGGGATTCTTTGATTGGCTGTTAGGACTCTGAAAAATCCTTTCGTAGCTTTCAAGATTGAGGATTTCGCCGCGACCGTCCGACGACGACTGCGGCGATTTGATCCAAAGTGCCTCATTGGTCTGCAAGAGCTTGATCAGTTCATCCATGGCATTTGAGGCAAAATCCGCCATGAGAGACTTGTCCATGTCAGAAATGGACATCACCGGAGGGAAGGGCATATTCGGAACAACACTCATAGAACTTCCCGGCAGGAGATCGAGATCGAGGGAAGGACCGGGGAGGCCGGGACCGCCGAAACTGGCCATGGATAAATCTAAGGAAGACAAATGAATTGGCTGAACTGGTGGAAGCTGTGAAATAGGCCTTCCGATATACTTTGCTGCAATGCTGGAAAGTCTGTCAAGCTGCAAGAGAATTGTGTGTTAGAGAGAAAAGAGATTTTTAAGGAAGAAGAAAAGTGTCTGAAAGAGACAACTAAGGTTTGTAGATGGTGTAACAATGGTGGATTGAGAGAGACAGACAGACCTCTTCCTTCAAATGGGCATTCTCCATCCTGAGTTTCTGCTCGTCGAAGTAGGAATCTTCGGGCACCGGGGGGCCTCCACAGGAGGGGCAGATCACATTCTTGAGGGCCTCTCTGATGGCTATGTTTTCACATCTGATTTTATCGTTTTCTGCTCGCAGGGCACAATTATCTTGCCTTTCATGTTGTGCCTAGAAGAAAACAAGGTTTTAAAAATAAAAAAACAAAGCAAACAAACAATTCTCACACAGATCACACACAGGTGTCGTCCAGATTTGGGCACCACGGGATATTCAGACAATGAAATCGACAAACATCCTTCGTAAGAACATCAAATCACGAAAACCTAGAAAACAACAAAAATAATCGGAAAAAAAAAACCTTCATCTGAGTCCTTCTGTTCTGGAACCAAAACTTGATCTGCCTCGGATGCAAATTCAACTCCCTGCTCAAATGGTTCCTCGTCTTCTCGTCCGGGTGAGGACACTCCTTGAATATCCTTAAAACCAACAACAAAAAATCAACGCAAGCAAACAAACAAAACCACGCCTCAGTATCATCGATAAATACAAAAAAACCCCAACCATGTTAGAACAGCACAAGATGAAAAGGACAACAACCATACAAACAAACAAACAAACAAATCAAATCCAAGCAATCGAAAATTTAATTTCAATAAAGCACGACTCACGCTTCCAGCCGCTGGATTTGATGCGCCGTGTGGCGGTGGTACCGCTTCGACTTCCTCTGCGAATCCGACCCGTCGTGCGAATCTCCGCCGCCTCCGCCGCCGCTCGAACCACCGCCTCCGCCGCCGCTGAAGTCCATATCTAATTATTCAATTTCTTTTTAATTTTTTACAAATCTATTCTTCTTCTTTCTCACACAAGGATAGAGATAGAGATAGAGAAGAATAGCAGGAGTGTGTGGTGTATATGTATAGGAGCGATATCACAGCAATTACGGTATTGAAGAGAGTGCTGCAGATTACAAGCTATTCCCATAATATAACTGTAATAACTGCGCTTACTATATTCAACAACGACAACCAAAAAGCATATGTGCCGGCGACGCTAATACCAACCCCCCACCCCTCCCCACTCCCAAAATATCAAACTAAATTTCGATAACCTAGATTCTCCTCATTCGATTTTCCGATTTTCAGAATGCCAAACACCTAAGTAATCCGAAATCCTGTAATATAGAGTCGATTGTTCGAACAAGGCGGCATCAAACGTTGTTGAGATTTTCTCCGCTCCACTGTCCCTTCAGTAACGCCCCAATGTCACAAACACGTAGATACACATACATACATACGTGTCTCTCTCTATATTATATATGTGAGAGAGAGAGAGAAAGATGGAGAAAGAAGAGAGAGAGAGAGAGAGAGAGAGAGAGAGAGAGAGAGGGGGTGTTGGTGGAGAGAAGGAAATGGGAAAAATGAAGGGAAAAATTTGGGGAGGGTGGGAGAGGAAGGTGGGAATGCAATTAAGAGCGAGAGGGTGGGGGGTGGGTCGGGGATGAAGAGCCAACCCAACCCCATAATAATAATTATTCGTAATTAATAATATGACCACAAAGAAGGTTTTTTATTCTTCTACGTGAATATTTTACTATTCAAATTTCAACTACTTCAAATATACTTCATATTTTTATTAATTGAGTTTTTCCGTCACTCGCTAACTAATTCAATTAGTTATAAGTTGTCAGTTGATTCGATTAATTATTTGTATTAAAAGTATTTAATAAAATAACGATTTAATATAAATTATTTATACGTAAAATTAACAATTAAAAATATATAACATTTTATTTTTAAAACATTTAGTTGCAAATTTTTTAGATTTGTTATTATTACTTAGTGAAAATTATAAAAACTTAATTAAAATATGAATTTTTTTATTTTTTAAATATTTTGTGAGAAGTTGTATATTTATTTTTATTAAGTTAAAATTTAATTAATTTATTGTTTATAATTTTAAATAAATTTATTCTAATATATTTATCATAATAAAAAATAATTATCTTCGTCCAGTTCTAAGGGTTTAATTTATTTTTTTCATATTGAATTTGAATATTAATTATTATATCAAAATATAATACAAATTGAGAAAAAAATTGCAAAAATACTTTAATTACTTACTTATAGTATTAATAGAATGACATTTGTAAAAAAAAGAAAATTATACAAATATAATAATATTTTTAATGTTAAGTACAATCAACGCAAAAGGTAAATGTGACCCTTAGAGGCGAAGAGAGAAATGACTTGACAAAAAATATATACTCTCTCTATTTCAATACAATAATCTTGTTTATCATTTTTGTTCATTCCAAAACAATAGTCTTATTTTCATAAATAATCATATCACCATAAAACTATCCCTATTTTTTCATTTTTATTATACAATTGTCATTACTTTTTACACTAATACACTCACAAAGGCAAAAATATTTTTTATCCATACTTTTTACCAACTACTAATATAATATTAATATTTCTTAAATTTCGTGTGTAACCCAATTAAAACTATATTTATGGGATGGAAGAAGTAGTATTGAATTAATAATAATTTCAATTATATCAAATTTATAAAAATAAATTTAAAAGTTAACTAAAAATGTATACTAACATAATTAATCAATACTACATGAAAAATATATTAATGTGTAAAGGGAACGATATTTTTAAAATTAGATAAGAAATATGAGAAATTAAAGTGAAACAATTATTCTAAAACCCCGGAACATACAATATTTTAAAATTTTGCTTTTTAGAGTCAATAAGCTAATATATTAAACACTTAAATTAATTTTTTTTACTAATAAACAGTTAAAAACGATTCAAAAAGTTAAAAATTTTCCAAGAAATTGTTTTTCAAACATTTTTATAATTTTTTTTCTTATAAAATATCTCATATTATATTATTTAATATCAAATTTAAATTAAAATAAACACATCCTATGTTTCAATACATTATAACCTACCCGTACACATAAGAAATGTTTCTTTACATACACTTATTTTTTATTACTCTTTTCTCCCCTTTAATTTGTCATCTTTAATTTAGGTATGGAGTTTTTATGTATTGTGTAATTAGTAAGTAATTAAGAAGTATATTATGAAAATAATTATGATTTAATAAAAATAATACTAAATTAAAATTAAATGACTAAACAGTTTAATTAAAATAAAAAAAAAACTTATAAACTATGAATTTAAAAATATTATTAAAGTGTATAATTGTATTTTCAAAAAGAAAATAACAAATTATGTGAAATTGACAAAAATAAAAATAATAGACAAATTAAGTGGGACGGAAGAAGTATTATTCTTCGAGTGCATTTTGAATAAATTTACCACTGAATTCAATAGCTTGGCAATTATAAATCAGTAAGACAAATCACATTAAATAAATTATATATAACAAACAAAATCTAAAAGTGTGGCAATTTAGAGGGTGTATTCAATATAGATTTTGTAAGATTTTATTGAACTTTCAAAATTTTGGTGTATTCAATCAAGATTTTTAAAAGTCCTTTGAAATCTAGATGTATTCAATCCAAACTTTTAAAGTCTTTTAAAATCATAACGTATTCAATATAGACTTTTAAAAGTTTTTTAAAATTTTGAGATATTCAATCATCCATAGACTTTCAAAGTATATGAATTTTAATGGATTTTTGTGAAAATTTTGTAAAGAAAGAATCTCTCTTTGCCATTACAGATTTTGATGAATTCTTAAAATTATTATTATTATTATTATTATTATTATTGTTGTTGTTGTTGTTGTTGTTGTTGTTGTATATGTGATCAATAATATGATAATTGTTAAGCACAAAAAATAATAATAATAAATAATGGCAGTGGGATTCTGGACGGGTCTGGATATAAGTTAAATGACCCAGAAGTAGGGTGCAATCGGACAGATGCAAGGATCGGGAAGGAAGAAAGGTCGGGCGGAGTCTGAAAAAAGGTGTACCCAAGTCGGGTAAACCGTAGATCGGGTGAAAAACGAAGTCGGGCAGACGCGAAGGTTTGTCAAGAGAAAGGTCGGGCAAGGAAGAGGTACGGACAGATGCGGAAGTCTGTCCAGAGGACAGTCTGTCCTTCTACAGAGATAAGGCAAATAGAGCCGGTCGGTTGGTCCGTGGTCGGGACCACATTTGGTTGGTCCATGGTCGGACCAATTAAAGTCGGTCAAAGACGGAGGGCGGCTGATGCGGAGGTCGGCCCAAATGATGTCGGGCGAAGAAGCAGGTCGGGCATTGAGGTCAGGACGTGATACGAAGTTCGGACCAAGTGAAGTAGCATGTGCAGGTCGGGTGAGAGAGCAGTTCTGGGGCGGTTAGAGGAAGTTGCAACTGGCGAACGGTTTTTTGAAGGTCGGACGTAGTAGAACGGTTGACACACGTGTCAATAGAAGAGAACTTTTGGGGCGGTTAACAACGGTTATGGTAACTGACCAGACGACGGTTCTGAACGTTTTCTTCAAAGAATATTTAAGGATTTGGATCATCATTTGGCAAGGCATCTTCAATCAACTACAACAAAGCAAAATCAGATTTGGGGATCACCACTTTAAATTTCAGTCTTTTATTTTCCAGTTTATTTTCTGTACCATACAGTGTTTAGAGATTCCTAATCTCAGCCACTAATTAATCAAGTTTAAGGATATTTTCTATATCTTTGAATTCTACTTTATTTTTGTTGAAAAATTACATCAACAATAATATTTATCACTATTATTATAATTTTTAATAAAAATAATAATTTAAAACTAAAATATATTAGCAAATTATTATGATTTTTTAAAAAATATATATATTTTTATATTATAAATACTCACTCCTTCCCAAAACTATAGTCTGAATGTATTTGCCACGGGATTGGTAGTGGATAAAAAAAATATGAGTAAAAGACTTTTTTGCCCTTGTAAATGTATTAGTGTAAAAAGTAATGAAAATTGTGTAATAACAATGAAAAAGTAAGAGTAGTTTTATAGTGATATGGTTATTTATGAAAATGAGACTATTGTTTTAAAACGAACAAAAATGGTAAACAAGACTATTGTATTGGGACAGAGGGAGTATAATTTTAAAAAATATTATTATCACAATAATGTATTACTGTCGTCTTTTCTTTTCAATTATCTAATACACTGTATTATCATTACGTTAACAGTAAAATAGATATTTAAATATATATTTTTTGTTGAACCGATAATTTATATTTATTTATTTATTTTAATATTTTTTTAAAAAATCTTAAATTATTTATTTATTTATTTTAATATAATCTTTTTATATAAAAAGTAAATATATATATATTATTTATTAATACTTATATTATTTATTAATATTCAATATTATCTTATTAATAATTATTTATTATATTTATAAAATTTGTTGTTTGATATAATTTATATAATTAATATATATTCACAAACAAATTATTTTACAATCCTACAAAATCCATATAAATTCGTAAAGAATTCAATCAAATCCGTAGAAATCCATCTAAATCAATTACTAAAATCCATTAAACTCAACGTAGACTCTGTGGATTTTCTAAATCCACATAAATTCATAGACTTTTAAAATCCAAAAAAATCCATTAAAATCTGTTGGATCTTTGTCCTTATGGTCCACCCCAATTATGATACACAATACACACTCGTTTCGCAGCCCGAGCACATTTGGGCCTGGCCCATGTCCACACAGGCCCAAACTCTTTCAGTAGGCCCGTTAAGCCACCGAATACGTCCCGACTCACCGACCCGTCCGACTTCACCGACCGCCCGACTTCGTCCCGGCTTGGACCGTCCGAATACATACCCACTGTCCGACCTTATACCTCCCGACCTTGACCCACGTCCTGATCCGACCCGACTAGGATCCGCGTCTTTTTTAAGCCACGCCCCTGGCCGTCCGATCTAGGGCTTTGATCATGTCCGTCCATCCGATCTTACCTGTATATATATACCTGGGGTGAGAGAGGCGCCGTTATTGGATACCTTACTCACTCTCTCTCTACAACGCTCACCCTCTCTAGCCTCTCTCTCTCGACCTTTCTCTCACTCTCCTGTCCGACGGCGGTTCACGGCGGTTTTTTTGTGCAGTGCCTTTCCTCCTGTTCTGTGGAGTTCCTTTGGCACTTGTTTCCCCCTGTTTGTGTTGTTCGTAGCCGAAAGGGGCTCGTTCAACTGTAGGCTTGTGGTTTCTGTTTCCTGTATGCCTTTTACTTTTCTGTGGGGGTTTTGTGGTTGTGTGTCGTGGTGTTGTGGCCGGTGTGCTTGTGTTAGTCGCGATTCGAGTGTGTATGTGTATATTTTGTGTTTCGAGTGGTTAGGGGCTGAGCCTAGCCAAAACGAGTTAAAGTTTTGTTCGATTTTCTTAATAAAAGTTTAGATCCGTTCCGCATTTTTAAATAACAAAATCCCAATTGAATACACCCCCTT